CCTTCGTGCAATCAGTTCGTGCCGGTAGCCAACAGTTGACAGTCACCAAGGCATTGAAATTGGAAGCACGCACAACGAGCGTCTGAGTCACTTTGCCAGAAAGAATTAACATGGATCGCATTGAAAACCTCAGAATCCCTCGGCCGATTTGGGACATAGCCTAAGGCACTTGCCCTCACAAATTTCTCAGCGGTACCTCGGACTCCGCTGCCAGCCGACCGGACTCCTCCTCCATCTTTAGTGCAGAAGACAATATAAAGTCATCACAGATCCCAGCAACTCAAGGGGACAAGCACTAACAAAACGTCATTTTTAGGACCTGCAAATGTTTGTGGTTGAGCTTTCTCATCGAGGTTTTGAGCTTCCCGGTGGGATCTCCGGTTTCGACCCCTCACCCGTCAGACGGGTCCCCGACGCCCGGTGGCCCGGACTGCCCGAAGTCACAGAGCTTCATGGTGGGCGCCTGAGTCGCGTGTGCCACAAAGGGGGGGGGTGGAACGAGTTCTTTTGCGCGGGAACCACCCCAAAATACTCATGGGCAGGTCAGCTTCAGAAGCTAAAACAAAAGGGTTGCTCAGGTTCCGAAGCTAAACCCATGGGTATGGATTGGTTTCCAGGAAAAAAACACGGTGGAGAACGTGGACGCCCAAAAGAAAAGGTGGGATAACATGGAAAAGGTGTTGGAAGAACTAGGGTGCTATCCCAGAATACAGGGAAGAAGAATATGGAACCCCAAACGTAACTTGTAACGTAACTCAAATGACGGGGTTGGTCAACTCAGAAAGGGTGGTCTCATCTTGGTTTCCGTTTAAACTCCGGGAAGGGGATCCTCAGAAACAAACAACCACACACACACACACACACACGCGCGCAAACACACCCATTTCAGCTTGCCTCGAATTGGTGGTTTGGATGGGCATGGAGGTGCCCCAGGGTGTGAAACCCGATTAACCCTCTACAAGAACCAGGGCTTCGAAAATTTGAGGTCTTGGGCTCCTAGGGCTCTGCAAAATTAGATCCCTTTTTGGTTTCGAATTTCAATGCGGAGCGACTATATAATGATCCCCCGAGACCCAAAGTTGGATTCGGGATTCGCGAATCCCGAATCCCAAATCTTGATTCTCGAAATTGGGATTGGGATTAGCGAATCCCGAATCCCGAGCCCGAATTTTCAAAATTGGATTTGGGATGCGCAAATCCCGAATCCCGAATCCGAAACTGGGATTGGAATTTGGGATTCGCGAATCCTGAATCCGCGCGGCGAAGCGATCCCCGGATCGCCACTCAATGATCCCTTATTAAACTGCAAGAAAGGAATCCCGACCAAGAACGGCCCCTTTTTGAAACAAGGGTGGTAAGGGGTGAAGGGGGGAGCAACACACTTCTTGGGCGCTGTTTTTGCTTAGGAGGAATAGGGCACTGGTGACTTTTCATTGAGCAATGTGGCTTTGAACATATGCAAAAGGTGGTTGGGTGACCTTGGCGAAAATAGATGGCACTGGTGTGGGTGGAACAAGAACGAATCGTCATCACGGGGTTTCCGGCGCGAAACCCTATGTCAGGTTGCATGCTTCGCCACGGGTAAACACAGCGTAAAAACCTCTTAGACCCAACCAGTGGACCACAGGTCCAACCTTTTGCCAGACCTCCAGTTGTTTTACCTCAGTGGTTTATGGATATAGGGGACACCCCCTCCAAACAGGCCCAAGTATCCTCAACCCTCGGAACACGTTCCAGAGCGCCCCGGAGCCCTTTCAGCCGTTGTGGGACTTGTCTGCCTGTGATACAAATGGAAGGTGTTCCAAATGACAAATTGCTTCTCCATACTTCTCCTGCTCAAAGGGCAAGTCCCTGGTATCACATAGTTTCTAGCCTGATTTTAGCTGGGGAAAAACATGGGCACTGCCTAACCGAGGCTGGAGATTGGGGCCCCGGCCGCACCGCGCCCCTCCGTGCCACCCACCAGGATGTTCTCTGGCCTGCTGCTTTCGGAGCGCAGCTTGGCTCTCTGCCAGCCACGAGGAAGCAACGGGAAAAGGAACCATGATGTTTGACTCCATTCCGGACAGGATCGGCCTGACTGCTCAACCTGTTTGCGTAGCATTGAAGTGATTGCCCAAAAGCGTGAAGGTGAGTTGAGGTAAAATAAGGATACCTGGAACTTCCTGCGGCGGAAATTATTGCCGCAACGCATTGCGGCGGAAATTCCCGCCGCATTCCAGAAAATCAGCTGCAAAAAAAAAAAACGCAACCAAAACAAAAACGCCGCAACACCGTTTGCTTTCCGGGAATTTCCGCCGCATTCCCCCATCCCCCCCCCCATTTCCGCCCATTCCCCCCCCCCACCCCTTCCCTCCGATTTCCACGCCTCAAATCGGGGGGTGGAAAAAAACTGAAAACATGTTCTGCCCAGAAAAAAAAAAAAAAAATAAACGCCGCAATTCAGAATAAATGCCGGTCAAATCCAAAAAGGCGCATTTTTTTATTTGCGGCAGACATTTCTGCCGCAACGAATCTCTAGGTATGAGACACTTGCTCTGAATTTCAACTGCGACTCGCCGGTTCGTGATAGGCGTGGAATTGCAAAACGAAGTGCGCCCATCAATGCATCCTGTATCGCTCAATTCATGGTAGATGGGTACCGGAGTCATAGACCCATTCAATGAAGCTGCCCAGTCCACTTAGAAGCTCAAGGCCCATGTAGCTCCACCAAGATCAGTAGCTCCAGGTTCAGGAGCGTTCTTTTGGCTTCCCTTCAAATAGGGATATTAATATTCTCGGCTTCTATAAGGCTCCCAACTCTCAAGAAACCCTGCGAGCCCCAGGCTTCCTAGCTCCCTTTTACCTCACTATTCACACCCTTCCTTAAACAGGTTGCCAGAACGCTGGCTAAACCATGGCGGACCTTGGCTCAAACTTGCACCCTCTATCACATGTTTAGTGGGAACATAGTTCTGTTTTGCTGGGATCAAAGGTGGCTCCAAAGATCCGGGCACAAGGGCACAATTTGTGCCCCTGGTAAGGGGAAAGAAAACCCATCTTTCTACCCTGATTGGATCTTCTAGAGGCTCTAAGCAACCCTGTCCCATGAAGCAATAGCTGAGCGGTGTCGGTGTTTGCTGACGCATGAGCCCCCTGAAAACAATACAAATGGTGTTAACCCCAACCAAATCGTATGATACATTGAAAGATCAATGTAAGCTCACTCCAGAAGAGATCCCACATGTACATCAGCTGTAGAAAAATGGACATAGACTAAATAATGGACATCCCGTCAGATCTCCTGGGGCCAGGTTGGGCCTTTGTTGTCCACCAAATCTACGGCTCCGCCCGCTCTGCAGGGCGTCCGTGCTTCACGTCGCAGTGCACCAGGCCCGCCGCGTGGACCTGGGTGCTTTCCCCTAGGAGCCCTGGGAGGGGTGGATGCGGGTGGGTGGGAGAGTGAGGTTAGTGAAATAAAATATATGGGTTTGTATTTCACTTGGGATTTGGCGGACATCATTTAGGTATATTTAGGTTGGGATTCATGTCCATCAACCACTTTTGAGGTGGTTTCCGGGTATCTCTTTGTTACATTGGTTTAAAAGGAGGGCAAAGGGAAAGCACTCCATTTTGCCCTGGGCTCCTTCAGTGTGCGGGCAGCTCGTCTGATTCGGGACACTGGGCGGATCAGTGGCAAGTTTCACCTTACCCCAAGCCTTACCCCAAATTGGTGGTTTGGTTTCGTGGCTTGGACATGGGAGTACTTTCCCCATTTGGCTTCAAAAAGGAAGTGGGGATCACACCCCCAAGCCACGAATCCAAACCACCAATGAAGGGTACCTACGGGCACCTGAGAGTTGATTGTGGCCCATGTTCTGATGCGCAATAGCTTTTCACATGCCCATTTGTGTGGGCAAGATCCATGCCAAGAATGGCACCAGCATGTGGCGGTCCTTGAAAAGCTGTTCGTTGTCCTGAGGTCCGAGTCCCATTTTGAGAACCCCGGCGTGCGCCTCCCCAGAGAGACTTGAGGTTTTAGACCGCATAAAACATATAATCGAGGAATCGAAGAGCTCAGACACATCCAGCGCAAAACTACCATGCTTGAAACAGTTCCCCTAGCTGCCTCACTCAACTTTATCTTGCGTGGATACCTACATTAGATAGCGGAGTGCTGTCAGTACAGACAGTAGCAGACCGCTGTAAGCAAGGCCAAAACTAAACTCTGCTTTTGACGAATTAACCGGTTGTCCAGGCTTGACCCTCTGTCCGTTTATAAACAACTTGCGTGCGCTGTCTCGTCCCTCCACCATCGGAGGCAGAAGTGCCCAGGCCCCGTTCAAGCTGGTGGGTGCGTACCTCTCTCTGCCTCTCAGTTCTCTGTCTCTCTGTTCTCTGCCTTTCAGGGGTCCGAGTTCAGGGCCCGACTAAAACACACTTGTACACTTCCCAGAAACGGAAGACACCTGTAAGAGAGTACCTGGAATTCGTGTTTCCTCTTGAAGGACTCCCTGTCACCTGCCATGACGATCTGCAAACCATGTGACCCTACGGCTTGAGAATCGCCGACAAGACCTGAAACCCATCTCAGCTGCATCTCTGGAGCTCCCGTGGACGCCGTTGGACCGTCAAGAAATGTATTTCTGACCACCACCGCCCGCAAGGCACGGCTTAGCCATGCCTGTGTGCAAAACTTGTTTAGTCTGGAACAACTTGAATGAACTTGGCACCACAAACAAAACAGACGACATAAGACAACAAAGCAAGCAAGAGACAACTAACCAGCCAACAGTAGATGCTGCGAGAAATACATACAATACATCTGCAATCAAAATACAATTGATCAGCAACCGATAGACAACTTACAAGCAAGCACAGAACCGTGATTGATCATTCGGCATTAGACAATTTATCACAACCGACATGCTTCAGAACACATTCGACATGTCATCAGGAAACATAAGACGAGTTGTCAAGAGACATTAAGCGATTAAATAGCAAGCATAACATAAATGATCAGAACACACACCATCTTTCCAAACAAAAGCACGGGCTAACAACAACGCCCCCAGTCCGCTTTCATGATAGTTGGAAGAAAACATGCAACAAGTGTGGGCCTCAACATTAAACCATGTGAGTCGCAAACAAATCCTGGAGTACAATGCTCTACCCAAAACCACATACACTAACAAATAAAGTGGATATCCGCACCTATTTCTGTGTAGGACCGCCGTTTACTACCCTTCGCTTACCCTTTTTCTGAAAATCATGGAGTGCACAAAGGGCCTTTAGAGCAGAGCATGGCAGCCTTCCAAACCCTTCGAATGTTGGAAAGAGAGTACCCGCGCTTTGATCGCGACTCACCCAGACTTTTAGTGGTTTCCCGTGGGACACCCACGATTTGGCACGCGTTTTGGGGCAAAGTTGAGTGGAAAAGGAACCCCTCCAAAAACAAGAAGAAAAAGGAAGCAACCCGCTGGTTGGGCTGTGGGCCCCAGAAACGGCTCGGGTCCCAGGGGTCCCAAGATCCCAAAGTCCCCTGCAGCTGCCAGCGCCATGAGAAGCCGTCGCGCAGCCCAGCGGATCTGAAGGCGAGTGGAATGCCAAGGAAGTACTCCCCGGCAAAACGGAAGGAACCTCCAAGGGGCGCTCCATTTTCCAACAGTTTCCTTTACCTTTTTGGGTGCCATCTGAGTCTGGGAGTACTTTGGGTACCCTCTTTCCAATCATGGAAGTGCACAGAAAGTGCTTGGACTAGAGACTGGGATCATTCAAATGTCGCATCATATCTGTCACGAAGATCGATTCAATACCTAGAACAACCATCAAATTGTTTGAAGCTCTTGTCCTGTCCTGATTAGCTGGGTGAATTCACAAACGATTCGCTGGGGCGCACTAGGAGTTACCCTACACCCCTTGCGACTACTCACCACACGGCTGACCACCATCCCATCTAACATAATGAGCTTTAACTCATAACAAAACTCTCCAGCTTGCCAAACGCAAACGAATATGCAGTGCACAGAAACCCTCACTTTCCAACTGGACAGCTATCTTCCCAAAGGACTGTGTGCAGCGTTTCCCAAAATACAGGGAACATGGGTATTTAGTTCTTGCCCATGTGCAATTTGGGCATTCCCCGAAAAGACAAACCACCCTGTTTCGAGGGTGCTCAAACGCGAGTCCGAAATGAAACCTCATAAATTACCCATTTCGAGTGCCGTCTTCTGACTTCTGAGTGAGTTGGCCAACACAAATAAAAGCCATTTTTCTAGCATGAAAACTACATTCCCAAAGAAAAACATAAATCCCAAGAAACCAACAGGGCAAATACGGTGGTGCAAAAGCTTGTGGATTTGCCGGGTCCTACTTGAGGAAACGGATTTTCCGGGTACACCAGGAAAGTAGATGCCATAATTCCGTTGTGGTAAAGGAGATGACGATCAGCCAAAATGGGAGAGTTGTGCCATCTACTTTCACCCAACTGTACCCCTCCGTGAGTTTGGAATTCTGGCGCACCCCGAGCCCTGCCTGACTATCCTCGAGTCGCCGGGTGGCAGTGGCCTCAGTCACGCGCCATGTTTCGAAGAAAATGCTCTCGGTGGGTTGCCTTGGGAATGATCAACTAATCCAGGGTAAGTGTGTTCCCGATATGGACATATGTGCATCTTAATGAACAACTATCCCTCAAGACTCCTCAAGGGTCTCTTGGCTCACAATTTGAATTGTGTTCTTTTGGAGGAAATTCTGGGTGTTCCCCTTGACCCTGGAGCCCAAAACCCGACATCTGAGGGCTTTTCACTCCCCGAAAGAACCCAAACAAGGTGTTGCCCCCGCAGGTTGGGAGAATGAACAAAGTAATCCAGGGCTGTCATTGAAATGTGCGTTTCCTTCAGGATTTGGCGGGCCCCCCGCCTTGTAGCCACTCCTGGGTTCTGTGAGAAGTTGCGATGGGCATAGGTTGTTTACCTCTGCAGCGCAAAACAACGTTTGTGGACAAGGGCACACAACCCCAGGCCGGTTGATGTGGTTCGCTCATAGTTCTGCTACTCCCCTGAACGTGGCGCTGCATTCCAGGGTACTCGTGCTGGCTGCGGGGATAACACAATCACGGACATGCTGGGGCTGTCCCGAAAAAGGCGAAATATGTTGGGCCACAAACGGAAAGACGCTTGATGACAGCTCAGCAAGAGTGCCAACATCTGCTAAACATATTTTAGGGTATGTAGGTTGACAAACGAAGCAACTGGCAAGCAAACCCAGGTCAGCAAAGTGATATTCAGCATCCAACTTGCTTATTGCATTTTCTCGGGTCAATTGAACAAGCCTATTGGTCATTCACACCTACTTCTCATCTCGTCGACATGGAATTCAAACAACAATGGAAACCAACACGCTAACCTTTCCCACCTTTGACACCATTCAAGCAACGCTTTTGTTCTTACTGTCTGGGGCAGGGAGGGGGAGGGGGGCACATTCCCAAACCAAAGCCCACACGGGCATTTGAGCAACGGTAATTGTTTGCCATTGTTTGCTGTAAAGGGGATGACACGGGGGCACACTCACCAGAACAGGGTTAGGTCGTGGGAGTACCCCAGCAATTTCTCACGTCAGGGGACGAAATGAATCTTGGAAAAAAGCTGCATGTGCAAAAACCAAAACAAAAAAAACGCCTACCACTCCAGGTGCCATGAAACCAGGGCCATGCTTCGGCCCCTGCAAACATTAACTCTTGCTACCTGAAAGGAAGAATAAAGGGAACCAAGGGGCACAAAGTTAAACCGCTGAGTTAAGTCTGGTACTGAATCGTGTCTGGTGTCCGGTATGCAAATCTTTACACGACGGACACTTACCAGACCAAAACTGTGGATGGGAGCGTCGGACATTGTTCTGAGCAGAAAAACACACATTTTCCTTGGCGTTTATATAGCTTGGGTCGTTGTGCCACATTCATTTCCACTCCAGGTAAAATAGCCAAAATGGGATTGCTTTTGTTAAGAATATCCCTTTCGAGCCCTTTCCAAAAACAAACCACTAAAAAGGACACCAATCAATAATTTTGGGGCCGTACTCCCTAATTTGGCACATGAAGGCCTTGGGGCCAGGGCAATGCAGTGATGCAGGCTACCTTCGATGTACTCAAAGACTAGGAAGAGTTCACCGCCTCAACGGAAAGAACTCGCCGCATGCGGTGAAGCGGATACACCAGGGTGAAAGTCGCCCATTGTGTGGCACAATCTTTTGAACAATCATGGAAGTGGACAAAGGGCGTCCCAAAAGAGAGGTAGTCTCTCAAAACCATCCTAGCAGCTTCCATGATTGTTGGAAATGAGGTTAAGTAAAGAGTATGACTAAACCAACGTGAACACATTGTGCCATCGTGCCATCTGCGTTCATCCAACTGTGGGTCTTTGTGTTGAGGGTCCGCTGTTCCGGGCTGTTTTGAAGGGAAACTGAAGGCAAACAACCCAGCTAGGGCTGCACCCATTGGGAAACAAAGCCACTGTGGCCCCAATGCCAACAGCTTATTCTTGTCAAATTCCCCCTTTCATTGGCTGGCTTCATATAAAACAAGCCCAGCTACCAACTTTGATCCTCCTCAAAACGAGACGGCCCAGAAATGTTTGGGGCTCCCTGCTCAAGCTCGCTGCAACGTTTCAGTGTTGCATAGGATCAAGGCTCGAGAGTCGAACCCCGAGGGGAACCTTTGGGCTACAGGGTACCGGCAGTCGTCAGCCAAAGTGCGTCTAACCCAGGCATGTGTTGAACTGTCGAAGTAAGCAGAACTTGACCTAAGCTCGCACCCTGAGTTTGTTGCCATACAAACCACCCATTTAGCCCTTTTTCCTAATCTAATTCTTGAAAAGACCCTCTTGTTTGGTTGAGTACAACCTGCAACTTTGAATGATTAGTGATTGCTCAGTTCACGATCACAATCACAACTGCAACCCAAGTGAAGTTTCTAGCACCTCTGGTTGTTCGACATGTGCAGAAAAGCAATCATTCTGCCCGCGCGTTCATGCCTGACAAGTCCACGGTTTCTAGATTCTAGCCAACATACAGACGGAAAACAAGCCCAGCCTCCTCAAATTGATCAGAAAGCCAACCAAAACAAGGACTCGCAGAGTTTGGCCAAGTGGAGTATGGGTTCTGAATGGCGCAGCAAACGCGGCAGGCATTGCGAGGAGCGCCTGCAAATGGGCCCCGCGCTTACCAAAACAAGAAGCTGCCGAGAGTGAGTTTTCCAAAGAGTCCACAAGGTGTGTATCCATCCGTTCCCGTTTAAGCAGAGGTTCACGGGTCCAGAAATGTCTGCAAGAACAGAGCAAAGCGCACGCAGCTCATGGAGGGCTTACGATTCTCTGGCCATCTGGCCATGGGTTCCTTAGCCAGTGAGGCATCTGGATTCCGTTCGCACCTCCTGAAAAAAAAAGCCTCAGAATAACCTGCTCCTCCGGCCACTTCCCTGGGTTTTGGCTTTCAAAGCATCCGTGAACTGCGTCCTTTTGATGCCCCTTGTGGAAGGTTGACGTGCCGAGAGGGAACGGCCCTACTAGTGTTCAGCAAGGTAGTCTACAAAGCACTACACTGTCCCTGAAGGGAAGCTACCACTCGAACCTAAAAGCAGTCCAACCAAACGGACAATTGACGAGGGTCAAAAAAACTCAACTTCCCAACCATTGGCTCCCAGGGAATGGTGCTAGGAACGTCCTCAACGGAAGCCACCGGCAATGGTTCAGTTTGTGCTCATTCCCTCCTTCCCTTGTATAGACCCAGGCTTGAGTGCCTGGGGCACGGGGAGGGGCTCAAATATACTGCCCCAGTGGCCCCAAAACAGTTGCAGGTCAGTGGCCCCTTGGCACTGCCGTAAGGCTGAATCCTCAGCACCACTTACAAGGGGGACCACTCTACCCACAAACAAAAGGATCTTGTGGATATATATATATATATATAACATATTGGCAAGAGTCGTGGCACCATTTCAGGAAACCCTTGGTCCTCCTTGGACATCTCTACTTTCTGAAAACGTTTGAACACGCCCAGCCTACTGCCCCTCGCCACCCGCTTCTCTCCTGTGGACTACCAAGCCTTAGCCAGTTCAGTTTTCCTGTATCTGGAGTCTCCGTGACCTTAAAAAATGGGTCATCTACCCAAAAAAAGGGGTCATGACCCCCAGTTCTTAAGTACAGCCAACCAAGGGCTTTGGTGAAACGCCTGGGATCCACGTGGGTCGTGGCTCCCCAAGCAAAAAATAAACCCGCCCCTCTACCAATCCAAACCAATCCACACCAACCACCCAAAGCCTATGCTTCGCGCGCCTCGACGACCGAAACCGACGAGGCCGCCGGCTCGGGCCGCGGCCATGTCGCACCGCCTCGAGCAGCTGCACCAGGTGCCGCCTGTCCGGCACCGCGGCTGCGCGGACCTGGCGGGGAAACACACGGGGAACGGGAAGCCAAAAAGCACGGCAGGCGCCCGAATGGAAAAAGCCGACAATGGAAGCCAACAAAAGGAGTCCGAAAAAGTAAAGCACGGAAAAAGCCAACAACAAAGACACAGCAAACAAATAACCCCGCAAAGCCGGCCAGAAATGGCATGGAACCCGCGAAGGTTCCATAACCTTTCCTAATCAGGATGGGTTGCTTCAGTTCCAAATAAATCTGCAGGAAAGTATATTGGTTCTCTTCAATGAACCTCCGGGAACCAATATCCTGTTGTGTCGATTTGAACACATCACAAAAAGGGCTTTCCGGGTTTCCATGTTGAGGAAAAACCCAATGCGCCCTTTAACTTAATTACCAAGACAACCCAATCAAAACTAGCTCGGAAGGTAATGTTACGACCCTACAAAGAAACATTAGGACACTTGTCTGTTGAAATGCCATTTTTCAAACATGTCACCCATGTTCCATCATCTTGGATAATTGTGTGCTGTGAATTCTGCGAAATGTGAGCATGTTGTTGGCATGTTTTGCGACCACCGAAAACTGTTGGCATGTTTTCCGGGGGTGGTTTCCCATTTGCCAAACCAGCAACCCAAACCACCATTCAACTACCAGCATCCCCCCCAAACACTGCATTCTTGGCCAGTGCTTGGGGTGTCGGACACGGGAAACAACCACAAAGTTGCTGGGATGGTGTCAGGGTTATCTGACTGAAACAGACCACAAACCGCCAGCTCTAAAACCTCCCGGCGGTCGCCTCTGGCAGTTGCTTGCAGGCCTCCCAGGACCTGAAGCTCAATCCGGATCTGACGAACCGCCGGGAAACGGCGAGCAAACTGTTGGCCCTTTGAGTGGGAAAGCGATGGAAAACGATCCGACCTCCTGCTGAAAAGCGAAAAAGGCGAAAAGTTGAACAGGGCGATCCGTCGGGCAAAGTCCCACTCTTCCAAGAGAGTAATGTTGGACTTCCTTTATTAATAGTACCCTTTAGTGTACAAACTGTTTTTCTAATTCAAGATCGTTTGACTGTTTTAGGGGTCCTCTATTATGGAAAGTGTTTTTTGCCGAAAAAAACGCTGGGGAAATATGGGCAAACACACTTGGCAACCAAGTCGGGCAAAAAAAAAGGCAAACAAATCCTGGCAAACATTGTGAACTCCTTTTCTTGAAGTGGTCCCCAAACCATCAAATTTAAGATAACTTATCTATTAAACAAAACGTGCGGGCAAACAGTCACACAAAGGGGGGTCACAAGAGGCCCAGATCCTCTTTAATGCGACTGTTTTGGGGTCCTCTTTAGTGGCCAACTGGTTTTGGGGGTTGCTGAAAAAACGATCCTCGGCAATACTAAAGTAGAATTGGCAATACTAAAGTAAGTACTGGGAATCTGAGAGTCAGTGTTGGTGGCAATGCTAAAGTAAGTACTGGGGATCTGTGAGTCAGCCTTGGCAATACTAAAGTAGAATTGGCAATGCTAAAGTAAGTACTGGAAATCTGAGAGGGAGCTTTGGCAATACTAAAGTAGAATTGGCAATACTCAAGTAAGTACTGCCCCTCCCAGACCTTCAGGATTTCACTAAAGAGAGTCCCGCCGACTGGTTCCACTGTTCGGGGGGGGTACCATTAAAGAGAGTCCAACATTAGCGCTCTCATAACTCTGGATTTCCGAAAATTTGCCAGGCGGTGATTGGTGTTTTACAAGTGTCCCGTGCATTTCCTTCTCTTGGCATGTCAAAAAAAAACCTGGGGCACTTCCGCAGGTCCAGAACGGGAGAACCAAGGTGGTCTACCTCCGAAAGAAACCGGCGGATTGCAAAGGAAACTCCTCTCTAAACAAGAGCGGGGTTGTGGAAAATCACAGAAAGGGAGAAACCAAAGTGGGGCATGTTCGTTGCTTCGTTGAAAGTGGCATCATTGGCATCGCTACAACTAGTCGACGCCCCTTTTGGATGCTCAAGGGAAACATGTGGCTGTCTAACAGAAAACTGCCCCCCTCCAAATCATTTTGGGTCCCTCGCAAAACGTGCCAAACTGTCACTTGTGCCGTCAGCATTGTGGCTCTACTGGCATGGCTACCCAGGTTTACACAGGGCACGCCAAAATCTCCATGACACCAGCTAGACACCGAACCACCTACTAAACTACCTTAGTCGCAGAATCGGTAGGCGGTGCTCGGGCGGTTCCCAAGACGTCCAGTGGATTTCTATGACATCCTAGTAGATCTTGAAGGGAACCAACTTCTTAAGTAGCTGAGTTTGTTGTGGAGCTTGATTTTGAGTGTGAACACAAAGAGGCGAACCAAACCCTTGAGAAATAGAGGATGCCCTGTTTCTAGCTTCTGCAACCCACCTGAGGTCCAGGGTTCAGCTGACTCGATGAGTTGGGCTCCCCGGCTCTGGCGACTGCTTCAGCTGCTTCACAGCCACCAGGCGCCCGTCCTGAGGCCGACTCCACAAAACGCAAGGGGCACGGGCAAATCCAGCACTCCCGGCATCCTACATGTCCCTAAGCAGCACCCGCCTTTTCCGGGCTCCTTATACTTCCTCTTTAAAATCATCACCCCAAAAGAAAAGGAAACTCTGAGCCCTTCGATCAGGAGCCGTTCTAAGGTTCTGGGCCAAGGCGGGAACCCTTGGGATATGGGGCCTAAACTTGCCCAACCTTTTATCATCTTTTATCCTGCTTGCCCCTTTGTTCCCGAAAGGGAAGTACTCTTTCGCTTCGCGTGATACGGTCAAGCACTTGTTTTATTCAGCCCGCCAAGACATTACCAGAACCAAGCACAAGCCTCTGAACAACTCTCAAACTGGTTTGGGCCGGCAATTGTAGACCCCTGCCCTTGTGAAATAGGAGCTGCAGGGGCATTGAGGTACCGTGTTCTGCGCTCAGGCAAAGGAAACAAGGAGACAAAAACACCATCAATCAATCTTAGGATTCCTGAGAAAGAAAGTATGGGAAAGCTCATCGACCCCAGGTGGGCTCTTCATACCAGTGCAACAAAACAACGGGGCTACAGCATGACAACTAACACAAACATAATCTTCCGATCCTCTAATCATCCCCTATGCCAAGGTGTTGAGAGCGACAATGGCTCGCAACACATTGAGAACATATCAGTACTGTACTTGGAGGGACAATGCTGCTGTAACCAAACAAACAAAATCAAACATCAACACAACGACAAAACAACAACAAACAACAAACCGCAACAGCACACAAACACGACAAGGAAGACACACAACAAGCCGCTGCGCACAAGGTGAGCGGATGTTCACAACAACATGACAACATAGATGTGCCTGTTCGGCTTTTTTGCGTGCTGACACATGGAATTACGTGAAGCCCGCCAAACTCAATGACGGCTTGCTTAGTGCCGAATGTTAAACCTCTCCGCACCTGAATCTGAGGTCACAATGGAAACCTGGTACCAAACGGCCATAATCAACAAATTCAAAGGGCGGCTGCATGGCTGGGATTGACCCAAATGAATCGCCAGGAAAGGCCTCTCGGGTTCCGGACGGATTTCCGGCGCGCCTTCCAAACCACCGCAAAGGAGCCTGGCAATTAGACAGCAGCTGGCTAGGGTGAACATCATTGGATGATTCAAGAAGGTGTGTCGCAAAGTGTTCTGGCTGGTGTCAAAGGACGACACATGCAGAACTGACTAAACATGTTTAGGAGGCCCATTTTGGCGACTTCACAATGAATGGCTGGCTGGCCACTGGTCAATGGAAAGGCAGGGCCCGCTTGAGGGAACCCGCTGGAATTCAACTTCAAACAACGGGGCGACTGGACTCTTGCAAATAGGCTCAATGTCTACCCTTGATTTATCAAACTGGCGGAACATAGGGTGTGTGTGTGTGTGTGCTTCTTCTCTCAGCCTGGAAGTCTCTGAAACTGGACACAAACCTGGCTGCAAGGAGCACCGTCAGCAGAACGAGTTGTTGTTTGTTTCTTCTTAACACGAAACATGATGCTTCCAGGGAGTAGGACTAGCTGATCATTTCATCTAGCCGTGGTTAAAGGAATGATCAAGCAATCGGCTTCAACCAGAGTTGATATTCAGTGCATTTCCCCTCATCCTGGTGCTCACAAAGGTCTACCACTGGCCCTGCGGAGAAACAGCCCGATTCAGATTGGTGTCAAGCGAACGAAAACAACAACAACTGCTGCATGTGCGAACGAAAACAACTGCTGCATTGAATTTCTGTGCATATGCAAGTTCTGCAACGGGGCCAACAGGAAAGTACGTCCGCCCACCAAAAACCTGTCCAAGGGTAGCATGTTCATTGACGGAAATAGGTTTGCTCTGGCCTCTGGGCCATGAAAATTCATTGCCCCACCCTGGATTTTGTGACCGATCAAAGTCTCGAATGTCTTGTCTCTCAGCCTCTCAGCTTCAGGCCTTGCCTCATGAAGAACCTCTCTGGAACAGTGAACCCCACAGGACCCAATAGAAAATGCAGTGGATTGGTCTTTGTTGTCAGGTAGCGAAACAGAACCCCCCCCCTTCCCCCCACCCAATCCGCCGCCTTGGCCAAGGCGCTGGACGAAGGAGTACTTCTCCATGCCATTTGGCACGGAACCTGGGCTGGGGACATGTGGATTCCGTCAGCAAGAATCAGCTGGGGCACTTCAAAACCTGCAAAGGGGCTTCGTGTCCTTGGATGAATGGGGCTCCAACCCCGGGGAAGAAGGTCTGGGCGAGGTGCTGAATCACACGTACTCGCTCAGCCCTGTATCAATGCCTGCCAATGATAGGCAAATCCGCTCACGCTCACCCGCCCTGTATCCACTAATGATGGAGTGCGTTGCCAAACATAGGTCAGAGCGTAAGTAAGATTGTTCTGGGCATTAGTCCAAAGGACTGGTGCAGCTTTGACACGGATTCTTCGTGGCTTCGTGCCTGAAAGCGTTTTTCGGGCTATGACACCCGTCCGCCTCCCGCTTGCATTCGGGCGTTGCATAGTATGTTGGTGTGGACATCATCGTATGTTGGTGTGAGCATCATCGGGTTCCGTATGTTGCTGCGGAAATATAGCATCAAACAAACATAATATCTGAGCCATCATGTAGAGCTTACGGCCCCAGTTTGAGGGTTCAGCCAGGATGCCTTGATTCAGGAGAACTGGCACCGACTGATATACTCCCTCCCACATGGCACATGCCAGAGGGTCTTTGCAAAAGGAAGCTTATCTTCCAGGTACCGTTTTCAGCGTTTCCTGGCGCATGTTAGTTTGCAGAAAGGGCGAATTCCGAAGAAGGCAAGTGAACCCAAAGACCCACCTTGAAGCCAGGCAGTAGGAGGCCATTGCCATTGGTTCTGCATGCCCCTTGCGTCCGCCGGCTGGAGTGCCATACACCCACGGCCTAAATGTTCAGCCCACGACTCAGGATGGGCCTTGCCCATTGAACCCTCTGCAACCGCTACCTCGGCCAACCATGACTCCGCAAGTTGGGCGAACTTCTGGATGGGGTTCACATTTTCTCCCCCACCCCATGTGGAAAATAGCATGGTTTCGAAGAGGCCCTCTGCGCACAGCCTGTAACCTTGTTGTCTGGTGAGACAACGCCATGCTTTCCCTGAACTGTTCAAGAATCAAAATCCAAGCAATACGTTCAACCTGGTGGTTGGCGGGACAACAACATCCAAGCAAAAAACAGACAAGATTGGGGGCCCTATGGCCCCACAGGTACCGAAGGTAACTGAAACCATCCCAATCATACATGGAATCGCACGATCCAAAAGTTGTGTCGTTTCTTCAGCAACAAAATTGCGGAAAAATAGGACGACTTTACAGGGGATGTTCAACCAACTTAGTAAGCCGGTTATAACCAACATACCTGATGGTTGAACACCCAAGCGGTTGCTTGTACCAACTGGGCCGGGAGCCCCCACACGCCCGGACGCCAAGGAGGGACGCGCCAAGCGAACACCCGGGATTCGGGGTACTACCCGAGAGGCGGATTCGCGCGCGGACTGACCGCGTTCTGAGCCAAGAGACTGGGCCGTTCCATTTAGGGGTTTAAAGCCTGATCGCGCCCTCTGGGCTTTCTCGACCAGCTGGGAAGTGCAACTCTGATAAGTTGTTGGCAGTTCCATTTGATGTGATTAATTCTTGGCAATTTGGACCGCGGTGATGCTGGGGGAAGAAAGTGAAGACCTAAATAAGGAGACCAGGGGTGTCAAAGATTCAATTTCAGTAATTTGGCTGTGCTCCATGTATCCAAGTATCGCAAGCTCCAGGCATCCTATAAAATGTCCATTGGCCAGCCTCCTCCTGTGAATTGTGCCACCCTCAGCAGTTCTCTGTTCATTCGGAGAACGTTAGCTTCCACTGAACGTGAAGCAGGATGTTCCAAACTCCAAAGACCCTCAACCTTAAACTTGCCTACACAGCCATTGACATAGTTATATACATATCATACAAATGATAATATCACCAGTAAATCCACAATAGTAATCATAACGGACAATACCATTAACAACAAAACAAATAGCAATGCCAATAACAATAACATCAACTTAGGAATATGATTAATACCAATAATAATGATAAGCATAATGACTATGATTAAGCACATGTTCATGATGACTTGTAGCACTCAAGTAAATATCAATCATACTGCATACTACATACATGAACGCTATATTAATGATAATCATAACATTAAACACTTAATACGTATAATTACAACAACAACAATAACCATAAATAACAACAAATAATGATAATAATAATGAACATACTACGGATGATGATACTAATAACAATGTATATGAGGAATAATACATAGTATCAACAATCATACTAATAATAATGATACCAAACAATAAACAAGACCATGGCTGTAGATATTGAAACTAATAGTAATAACAATAGTAATAACAACAATAACATCAATAATCATTTGTAGTAACAATATCATGAATGGGAGTAACACAAAGATATCAACCATCGAGTGCTTCTCCATGTTGTATTTTTCTCCCTCTGTCTCTCTCGCTGGCTGCCAGGTATGACACTTGGAGAAGGATCATGAATTTTGAACCTAGAGTGAGGCCTTCCAAATGCTTTGTGCTTTCCTGTTGTTTCCCCTTCCATCCAAGGGTCATGTGTTTTAACCGCCCATCTCACTTCAGTTCATGGTCCCAACTCGAGAATCCAAACTGGACCAAACGGTTGAGGGAGCCGTCCATCCGTCCGGCTATTTGAAGGGATCAATGAGGCAATAGATCCCCGATGTCAGCAACATGGTCCTGTTCTGAACCAAAAACGCTGGGGGTTGAATCAGGAGTCGCGGAGAAAGCAACTGCAATACCCGTCTCCCTTTGGCTTCCTTTCAGACAATTGAACATTTGGAGCTATTCACCAAGAAAGCAAGCCCTGATCAGGGCCTTTCATTATAGCTGCACTCATTTCTCATCCCCACAATTAATGCATGCAAATAGACGCAGTGTCGTGAAAGATGTATGACATTTGCAATGAGTGGGGCATCATGTGTCTTCTATAACCTGAAATCGGATTCCCACAGACAATCGCCCTCCCGATTTCCGGCAATGCTTAGAAAGGCTTACAGGACCTGTTACCAAGCCGTGTTTGTGGGTGTTCCAACCATCAAACCTCACAGCCATAATTGTCACGAATATCCGGGGTCACCAATCACACATTATGCCATTATGCTGCTATGATCCTGGCCCAATATATGTTTTCAAAAACCATTGGTACTATGTCAGCCTTTCAACATTGCCGCAAGAAACACAGGGTAGTTTCCTTTGTACCTCTTGGAAAATAACGCGTGATTTAATTGGCCAAATTACATCCGAATTGCATCCTTTAAGGAGCCCTCTAATACCCCAAGTTTCCGCGGTCAACACATCATGACCTTCCTCTCTCTTCCATGCCTCTGCCTCGGGACGTAGGCCCTCCTCGCGCGCGTGCGCGCGAGGTCGCGGGAAGGAGTCGGGGGTCAAACCGCCGGACGGTGGATGGACCAAACCCACGCCAGGCATACGTTGTTAGGTGGCTTATCAACTATTCATAGGGCTGCATCCGGTGTAGGACTTTTTTTCCATCGACAGCATCATACATGTCCAAACATTGGGGAACTGGAGATCCCGTTTGGATGCTGTCTACAAGCAACCAACCTGTTTGAGGCGCATCCCATGGTTAATAAAAGTATGCTGAAAGCTTCCCTGGAGGGTGAGTGGTGGTGGGGTCAGGCAAAGGTCCCTCAGTTCGGTGTATCTAGCCCGAATGATCTGAACTTCTTAGCTTCTTCTACAATGACTCTGGAAAAAAGAGCCACAGAACCAAACAACACTTTGCCTTGGTCAGCTTCTTCAGATAAAATTGCGAGGTCTTCTCAGCATAAAGAGGAAACAAACTGTTGCAAATACCCACCGTGCAACATGGGCTGGCATAGAGTTCATTAAATCTAGTCCTGCTATGTTGCCCCCTTTACAGTAGATTTATTTGCTTGAATCTTTACATGTTGGTCATGTTTCATCGCTTGTTGGGCAGAACAACACCTCAGCAGATTCATGGTCGAGACGAGACAGGCCGAGTTGACTCAGCGACATGCCCACGGGAACCCAATCGATGCCCGCCTTATCCTCGGCTTTCTCGTCGTCCGCCTTCTCGTCATCCGCCTTGTCATCGTCCGCCTTCTCGTCGTCCGCCTTCTCATCATCGACCTTGTCATCCTCGGCCTTGTCCTCCTCTGCATCGCTCTCTTCTGGCGCATCTGGCGCGTCTGGCGCAGCCTGCAGCGAGGCACGCTCTCTTTCCCACTGACCCATGGGTGTTCCTTAAAGCGCCAACTGACATTGGCTTCCCCTTCCCCGGTTGCCTTTTCTCAGGTCGTCAGTGGGCAGAGCTACTGTACTGAAAGGCTTTCATTTATGGTTCATGCTTGCTTGGAGGACTTCAGAAGCCTCCCAACACAAAGCCAAGTGCAGGACACCCAGCATGTGCTTGCAAATGATCACACGAGCCAGCATGAACGGAGGACCGGCGGAATCATTCGTAGGAAAGACAATCACACATTGTCACAACCTATGCTTTGGCATTTGAGCCCTGGGCCTGTGCTAAACATTCATCGTGCTTGTGTTCCGGAAACGGCCGCTCGCTGCGTGTTGGGATTGTGTCATATCGATCAATGCAGTCCGCGTTCTCGCCTCCTTGTCGGAGTCCTCATTGTCAGGCTTTGCCTGGATACATATCAAAGGGGTATTATGTGAGTGTGTGTGTTTTGAAGGGGCGACCTTATCGTTTTGGCTTCAAGGAAAACGGGAAACCACGGTGTCCCCTGTCTTTAACACATATTGTAGCAGAACAAGTTGGACTGGTGGAAGCTCAGAATGATTTTGGCGAGATTCAATGTGAATCAAACTCAGGAATCAACTCCAAAACATCACCGTTACCAAGAGAAACTCACTTTAAGCATGCGCACACAAAAAAAGAAGATCTGCACTGTCAATGCTGACATCCAATTCATGGCCGCCAACCAACCATAACAAACAAAAACAAGCGACCCAGGAAGGATTCAAGCACTCTGCGGTGAGAGTAGGCACAGGCTTCGCCGATGGCGGAAGCAATGCCTTGCTCATTAGGCCACTGGGTCAGCTGCAAACATGGGAAACAGACCCCCGCAAATGGTTGGTCTCCTTTTGGGACAACTCGACTGAGTCAAGACATCCATGGCTTGGTCAAGGAGTCCAAGATTGACAGGCCTTCAAGTTCATCCTTCTGTAGGGCGCCGCCTTTTGGGCTACAGGGCCTGCCTCATTCTGGCAAACACATAGGGACAAATCTGCACTGCGATTTCCAACCCAAACACATCTCCAGAAGTGGCGAGAACAGCCTGTGAACTGCGGATTGCCTTCAAGACAAGAACGCGTCAAGGGAGGTGGACTAGTGTCAATACTGTTGTCAGTACAACTTTGGCCTAGTTGCAACAAGCACTGCTGGACACCTGTGCCAATTGCCAAGCAAGCAAGAATGCACACACAAACAAAACTGTGTGGATACTGAGTTAAGATCTTGCAGTCAGAAGAAGCTTCCCAAGCTATCTCATGGGAACCCTGGATTCATAAAGCGATCCTTCCTTTCAGGAGGTGTCACCCGCAACAGAGATCCAGATTCCGACCAGGGGACACCTCCCCGTTGATCAACACCTTTTTTTGCCCGTAACAGAGGTACTCTCAGGCCACGGCCTCTGCAGTCGCGCTCGCTCGCACCTGTCCCGTTCGTTTGAACCTCCTCTACCTGGATTGATCAAGCTACCGAAATCCATCATGAGTTCAACCGGGATCTGCAACTATATCACTGCCAACTGGGCCTGTGAAAATGCTAGAATCTCCTGCCTAAAGAAAAGCAGGCAACAACCAAACCAATGTTCTATTCTTAGTGAGTCCACCAGCTTAGTGAGTCCACCTACCAAACGGTGACCAAAGGAATATGTCCGAGATCCTAGATACACAGTACTGATCCAGTGTTTGGTGAGCAACCCTCAGAAAAGAAGTGTTTTATTGCTCTTGACTTGTAGTCAGGAGGATGAAAAACATATCCATCTTTCTCCTTGCTCCCCACTGGTTTCAGGCGCCAAGTTGTGTCACGCCTTGGCTGCCTTCGCGCGAATGGCCGCCAGCTCCTGCAAGGTTTCAAGGTGAGGGGAGTGGGTTCGGGGCAACACCTCCCAGCTGCAACTAGCGGACCTGGCATGAAAAGACAGCTTACTTTCATGTTGTGGTTCTTTGAGTGTTTTTGTTGGGCGGGGGTGGGTGGGTGGAGCAAAACCAGAGAAAAACACGCTCAGTTGAAGGCTACGTAGATGTAGTTCATGGGACTCAGAATTGACTGGAAACAAACATGCTACCAAATGTGGGGTGGGGCGTTGATTCACAAGGGAGGAAATTAATAACCTATAAAATTGGCTCTAAATTGGTCAACGTTCAACCCCCACAGACAGAATTTTGATACGTCTGGCCATGAGATCCTTTTGGTTAAGGGCAAATACTTGAGACGTCATTGAGTCATGGCTGTGATTTGTAATTGCAACCCTCTGGTGAACATCAGGATTCTCTTCACCCACCATGGTGGGTGTGTCTGTTTGATTCAGGGTAGCTTTCAAGGAAACCTGAAGGAAAGCCACCATTTTAGGGGCCCAAATCCCGATTTTGACACAAACCCATGCAGTGAATAGCCCATGAAATATCCTGGCCAAACGCAGTTCCTCGCCTTCTCTGAGAGATCCGAGACAGCGCAGGCCGCGAGGCAGTCCTGAAAATGCGAAACACGGCCCTGCTGGGGCCAAAATAATTAGAATCGGGTCAAACCAGTTTTAGTCATGAATTATAGGAGTAAACTATTGGCAATTCTTGAACCGCTTGCACTACTTGGGATCTCTCTGTGTTCTGTTTTAAAAGGAGCTTGGGTGAACTTAGATGGCACAAATCCCTTGTGAGAAAGTATGCGTGAAAGTCGTTTTTAATCATGAGGCATCTATTGGATCTATTGGGACATGAGGCATCTATCAGTTCCTTGAGCCGTTTTCAAGCTACCAACCTGGCCCGCGTTCACCCTGTTGGCCCGTGTTCAATCCCGTGCAATCAATGTCCACCCGCCAATCTTCTGACACCAAGGTGCGGACTGTGTATTGGCATAGAATCGCATATGCCATTGGGCGCTGTCCAAAACTCAAAACTCACCTTTCCAAAGCTTCTCCATGAAACAAAAAAGTTGACCTTCCGGAACCTTGACTTGACTAAAAGTAGACTAGCTCCATAGTTAGCTTTCTGGGTTGCTCTTCCCCCCTGGGTCCAACCTATGGTAGGTGTAATAAAAGAATCCAAAAAGGTCTATGGGGCCTTTGGGGTCACACCAAAGACCAGCCATGCTTTGGACCACTAAGTGGTATATAGTGATATGGGCGTTTCTCAAAATAGGGGGACCCCTCCAGTTGGTCAGCTTCCTTTTGGCTTCCTTGTAAAACCATCCAAAAAATGGTCCCCCCCCCATTTTGAGACACACCCGTACAGTAGTGGTATCGACAGCTGCGAGGCTCCAACCCTTCCGATGTCCTCATCTCGCATCTTTATCACGCACTTGCCAGGCCTCACTCGCAACTGTCAACTTGTGACTCGCAACGAGTCGCGTTGACAGGGGAAGCAACAAGAAGTCAACCTTCGCAATGCCAAACGGTGAATAAGCAGAATCTATGCCAAGCACCAGTGGAAATCAATCAATTTCGAAATGTTATCACCTAAGGGGCAAGAGTCAAAGAAAAACAAGGGGGAAGAAGCCAAGCAACGGCTTGAATCGTTGATCGCAAAAAACAAGTCAAGCCCGAAGAGCTATGGATTGGCAAAGTTCTCTAGCCTGAACCCGGAGGTTCCACTTTGGAAGGATCACCCACCCGGAAGTCCTGAAGTCATTTGTGGTGTTGCTTGGACACGGGATTGTTCATGAAAGAAGAGGCCCTAGAACAAACAGAGGCAGCAAGGAATCACTTGGGTATCATCCAGCTACCCAGCACTCAACAGAGTGATGTTGAAGACCCCAGCTCGGGGTTGTGCGGGTTGAGATGCAGTTACATTCCTTTGCCATAATACTACCCTTCCTCCTGCAAACGTAGCAGCCATGGAAGGGTACCTAGAAGAGCAACTGCCTCTTGAAGGGACCTGTTTCGGTGCGAGGGTCTCTTTGGTCTCTCGACGCAGCATGGCCACCATGCACAGCCGGCGTTCACCCGCGAAACGGGCAGGGAATCGAATGAACGTTCGGGCGTGTCTTCGCCTAGTCTGCGTCATGGAGCACATATGTCGAGCAAGGATTTTCAGCTCGAGGGCTCTCTCTCATGATACTCATCTGTGCAAGCCAAACCAGACAAGAGCACGCCAACCCACTTGCGGTTCTGGCTGTGACTTTTTCAAAGTGCAAACACATGCAAACACAGGCAATCACACAAAGAGCCACGCATTGGGTGACTTGCCACCTGAGCATCAAGTGCCCTCGGAGCATTGCAGACAGCCCCGGAGCGTGTTTGCTTGCTGTCCGCGTGAGTGGGGCAGATATCCTCAGAACGGGATCTCGCCGCATCGGAAGTGGGAGTCGGACAGATCATGCGGTACCTCGGCGTAAAGTAACTCATGGGCGGATGATGGTCTGCGGGCACCCTCTATGGATGTTTGCCAAGGGGCAACCAAGGAAACCAACCACCTGGAGTCCGCAGTCCCTAATGTTGACACGTACTTGGGAAACGTCTCGATCTGTTTCATCATGTTTCCTCGGCCGCACGCTTAAGTTTGCAATGGAGGATGGAGGACACGTATGGAGACACGTATGGACAATGGAGGATTTCGTCATAACATTAAGGCAGCTTTGCAACAAGGATCCCACAACAACAAATGTCGTAGCGTCTTGCGACACGTGAAACCAACCTAAGATGACAATTGGTCAGGACAAGTGACTAGTTAAACTGTTTGGCCCATGACTAACATCATAAACACTGCGGACAAGTCCGCGCCGGTGTGGCAGAACAGGGGCACCAGGCTCGAATCCCCTTGCCAGCTCTTTGCCGGCTCGGGAAATCCGAGGGAAATGCATGGAAATCACGGGGAATGAAGAGGAAATGCAAGGGAAGTGCAGGGAAATAAAGGGAAATGCAAGGACATGTAGGGGACAGGAAGTGGACACGACAGGAAATCAAGGGGAAATGAAACGGAAACGATGAGAAACTGAAAGCGAAATGAAGGGAAAAGGAATGAGACATGCAGGGGGAGTGAAGGGGGAATGAAGGGTGGGAAACAAAGATAAATGAAAGACAGTGACGAGGAAATCACGGGACACGAAGGGAGATGTCGAGAAATGACTGGCAATGAAGGGGACATACATGGAAAATGAAGCGGACATATCAAGAAAATCACAGGGAAATGAAGGGGCAATTGAAAGGAAAGGTAGGGGACATGACGAGGAAATGAAGGGGAAATCAAGGGGAAAGCCAGTAGTACGGAGACAATACAGGAGTCATAAAGGGGAAGCGCACGGACATCGAGGCAACTCAGGGGGGACACGACGCTGCAATGCAAACGGAAATGCTAGAGAAACGGAGAGGAGATGCAAGGGACCTGCACGGGAAACGAACCAGAAATGAAGGGGGAATGAAGGGAAAATCAGGGAAATGAAAGGCAATGAAGGAGAAATGAACTGAAACGAAGGAAGCTATACGGGAATAATTGGAACTGAAGGGGCATGAGCGGGAACTGAAGCAGAAATGACAGGAAAATGACAGGGAAATTAAGTAGGGTTTGGAGGGGGTGGAGACAGGGAGGAGGGGGAGGGGGTGCGCAGGGGGATGAGACAGGGAGAGAGAGAGAGAGAAGCAGAAAAAGGATGGATAGAGAGAGACAGGGAGAGAGAAGAGGTAGAGAGAGGTAGACATAACAAACACCTCCAGTGGCTTGGTGGATTCTCAAGGGAACCCACACACAAGAGACCCTGTTTCCTCAAACACAAAACATGCACACTTAGTGTATTCTGGTTGTTTTCCCCACTTTGTTTGGTTGCTTTACCCCCTGTTTCCTTGTGTAAACCAGCCACAAGGGAGTCCTTTATGTTCGGCAGCATCCAACTGATGTCTTGCAAATCCCAACATGGAAAACACCCAAAACACGCAAGCGATGGAGGCTGGGGTGGGGAGCCCCCAAATCCGAACTAGGTTCTAACAGATAATGGATCCACCAGGAAAACCGTTGGAGGCCATCGATTCTTCAGCCAGCTCACTGCGCCCCATCTGCGTATCACGTTCCTGCTTCTCCTGCCGCATCGAACACGGGTTGTGGGTTCACATCGGACCACACACACACACACACACCATCCCCCAAACATACCCATACCCCCGTCGGGAAGGCAAAAATCGACCAGCACCGGACGTGTGTCTGGGGTGGTGAGTGCTGGAGGTGGCTGTGGTAAATGCAGGAGTTATGTGGCGACCACCTCCCTCCCTACCCCAGCTATTGGTCTTCAGGGACCCTTTGCTGTCTGAAGAAGCACGCACTTCCCAAGTTTGATAGAAAATGCGGCCAAGGGGGTCTGACTTGATGGATAAATCGGAGACGGCCGACCTAGCAGGGTGCAGCGGCTTGCTCGGCCCTGTCTGGGTCCCAGACCAGTTGGGGGATATCCTTCAGGCGGAGGATTCATGTCCACCACTTTTGAGGTGGGTTCCCTATTAAAGTTCAAAATCGTTGGATTCCATTAAGTTTACAGCCATATCCGTGTTTCTTTGGGTTTCCCTCAAATACTAACCAAGAGTCTAAGAGGGGGCTCACATTGTTGAGAACCTTCCATCTAGCTGTGCGCTTTCTGTGACCTTCGGTCGAAACTCCTCCATCAGCGCCAGCAAGTTGGCTTCCGCCAGCAGCGTGTCCGTCGCGTCAGCGCCCAGCGCTTCCCGGAAGCCTGGAATCCGATGCGAAGAATGACGATTTTTCTTGGGGACCGGACCCTCTGGTGGGTTTAGTGGATAGAAGAGTAAAACATGAAAAAGCCAGTGCTAAGGGGCCTGTGGGGCCACACCAAAGGCCGACCATGTTTGGGGGCAATTAGCCAGCGAAACAGGCACAAGATGCAACGATGCCCTCTTTGTGTAGCCCTTTTGTTTGTAGCGTCTTTTGGTTGTTAGTGTTTTTGGGGGAAAACATAAACAAAACAAAGAGTGAAACAAGTGACCCCAGAGGCGCAAAAGACTTGGGGCCATTAAATTTGACTCTTTTTGTTGGGAGACTACCAAACTGAAAAGATTTCAAGGGTGTCATTGAATGGGATGCATTTGCCAAATAACTATCACTCCCAAACTGGACATAAGGAAGGAAGCTCACCTTCATTGGAAACCTCGTTTCACCCCCGGATCGGTGAGCTTAATACAATTTGCGCAGATTATGGTGGGAACCCTGATGCACACCATGTAGAGGTTGCTACCCGTTCCGACATGCTCAGACCCCGGGCCAAAGCATGGGTCCCTGCAAAAGGGAAAGGAACCTTGCTTGGCGTTAGGAATTTGGGAATGATCCTTTGGCAACGACTGTTTGCATGGGAGGGGCATTTATGAATTCCTTGATTAACAAGCAAGGAGCCGGTTGGGCCGACACCCCTTGTTACGGTTACGTTCTTGGGCTTTACTTGGTCAACTTTCAATCCCAAGACTAGGGTCTCGCCTAACTACTTTCGGGCAATGGACGAGCCGATAAATCGCCTGCCACCGCCTTCCGCAACAAAGGCTCCGCTTCTTCGAGGCGTTGCATGGCCATCAAAGCCACCGCCAAGTTGTCCTGACGCGTTATATTATAGGTACCAATGGAAACCTACAACAACCTAACCTTCGAGCCCGTTTTTTGTGCGGTTTCCTCATCAGCACCCTCCAAAGATACGTCCTAAACCCTAAGTCACCAACCCGAAATAAGATGAAGATCGCCATCTTTTGGTGTGGATGCATGCTCTTGCGTTTCCGTTCAAAGCCAGTTCACAAAGAATGCTGGTTGCTTGCAGTTTTCACGGAATCAACTCTACCTCCATAAGAAACTTAAAAAAACACTTTCGTGATTGCAAAAGTTGTTCTGCCCTTCCTTCCCCCATTACTTAGGCAAAAGGTCTAGCCTGGATTTGTGCGCCCTGTTGAGTTCGAGCATCGCACAAAAGGGGTTGGCAACACGTCCTGAATGCAATATGGGTTGTCGCTCCCAGCCCGTTTTTACTTTACGCAGACGACTGTCCATCAACGCTGTCGTGGCTTACCATTTTGCAGGACAAAGCCTGAATATTTTTCTTCTATGTACCGTCCAGACATGGGTCGCACGCTTTTCCTAACGGAAGCTGTGTTGAGTCCTTTACAGTTCGGCGTTCGATTCCTTCCACGTGCTTTGGCCATGGCTTGCACTCATCAGCCACATAAGCCTACTGTTGAAAGAAAGAACGCATGTTTTCCTGCTTCTTCACAAGGCCTTCTGCTAGCTAATTGGCAATCATGCTCAAATAAACACACACACACACACAGACATGAAGTGAAAATTGTGTGCGTGGTGACATTATGGGAGTCCTCGGAATGGCTATCAAAATCCCTGCGAGTAGGGAGGGAAAGCAAGCGCGAACATGCAAAATGCCAAGGTCAAACAACGCAGCTCCTCTTGGCGTGCCGAAATTACACACGCCCGTGATATTGTAGTGCAAACAACATGAAAGCTGCTCAATGGCCACTTCATGAAGCCAACTTGAATAATGAGTTGGTCTCAGCGTTGCTAGATGTAATGAAACAAATGTATCCCAGGACCACCCAGGACCACCAAACCCGGCATCAAACTCCCCCAGCCTCCGCAAAGCTTTCTAAACGCCCTTGGACCTCCCCCCAAAAAACACCAGCGATATATAAACCTCTCCCCAACCACGCTCCCAAAAAGACAAACCCAACAGCATCCCCCACCCAAACCTTCCGGCCGCACCTGGCTCCGCAGCGTCTCCTTGTCCTTCGCCCCCAACCGCTTCGCCAAACCTCCCGCCGCCCACCGGAACAGCGGCTCCGCCTCCTCCGCGCGGCCTAGCTGCGACTTGGGCGCGACGGACCCAAAGGCAGCCCCCCCCCCCCTCGCCACAAAAGGGGCGGAGCCAAAAACTGCAAAAGCAAAGCACACAAACAACCCTTCTTTTGATTAAACAAACAAGGTTCTCCTAGAAGAACACTCACCCATGCAATTACCAGTGTTTCCCTTTAGCACGGCCCCAAACAGGGTACCCCTAAAAGATACAGGCAAAAGGCCGGGCCTGCACCAAAAAGCAGCGCGCCCAGGCTGTCTGCGCTGAAGAGTGTATCCTGCGGGGCTTGCTCTTTACGTTCCGAAAATTAGGAACTGCTCGCAAAATGGGCAGTTTCCTTGTGCCGCAGTGGGTGCGGTTCATAAGGGGCAACAAGAACAAGATATTGTTTTTCCCTTGTTGTACACCATATTACACCATCCAGAATGGGGGTGGGTTCTAAAAACAGGTGCTCAGAGTACCAATGGAATAGATTTGATTGGGGCCTGATGACACGTGGCCATGGGTTTGTCTCTCAACAAAAGAAGCACGAAAATGTGCGGGGCGGGGGTGTCCTTTCCCTGTGCATTTAGTTGCCACTATACAATAGTGGCTGCAAGCACTGGGTTTGGCTTTCCTTTAAACCAGCCCCGACACCCGAACAAAAGAAACACACATGGCCATTGGGACAACTACTGTTCGGATTTCAATTGGGACTTGCCGCTCGTAAAATTTCCAACACGGTTTTTGTCACTCTCCAACCAATTCCGGCTTTGTGCTGAAGGTTGTAGGCCAATCCACTTGCAGGACAACACACAATCCACAACCGTCCTGTATGGAGAGTGTGTTGCATTCGGGAAATCCACTCACACGTATTCATGCCCGAATTAATAGCTGGGCAAACAACAACGTAGGGAGCGGAACTCATCCTGTCCCCTGGTCCCCAGAAAGTCCTCCCTTTCCTTGGCCCATGCATCCTTGTTGTGCTCAAACAACTACTGACAATGCCATGACCGCGCGTGGAAATCGCGTATGTTTGCTTTCTCAAGGGCACGCCAACGTGAATATTATTCAGCTGGTTGAGTTCATGCGACTTGGCAAGCTGTGTAATTCGTTCCGGACCAGGCAAGCTATGGCCTATGAACCCGTTCATGGTAAAAGCGAGCCACACGATCAAGTTTCAGCCCGGTACATGAGCCGGGGATGGTTCATTTGCCAAAATAGGTTGCTGGGTGCGCATCTTCTTCGTTGTATGTGTGCTTTGAAGCCTTCACATGCCTGTTGGTCATTTTGTTATTGAGTTAAGGCTGAAACACAATTTGCAAAACTGGGAGGGTAGCGTTGCTGAAACAGCCCGATACTCGCTTTTTTGTTGTTCGGCCTGTTTGAAAAGAGTCCAGGTTCATTGCCTGCCAAGCAAGTATAGTTGTCTCCTCACGTATGTAGAGTCCAGCACCTGTTGTGTGTGTGTGTGTCGGATTACTCTGGCCCAGTGCGTGACCGCAGCCAAAGTAGAAAGCCCAAGATCTCGGGGAGTAAGACGAGATGTTCAAACCAGAGACTCCGAAGCGCCGCCGACGAGCTCCAGGTCGTCTTCTCCCAGTCTCCGGCGGCAGCCCTCCAAGGCCTCAAGGGCACCGAGCCTCAAAAAACCGAGCCCCAAATGAGCCCCTTGTGATACCAAAGGCACGGCCTTTTTGCAGAGGCCGTGCCGCCGTGCCTTTGATGCTTCTGTGGATTTGCCCTTGGAAAGTGGCAGAGTGCCAACAATTGGTGGAATCCACCGTCGGGAATTAATTATTTCTAAAATAAAATAGTTAATAATCTGCTGTAACGACGTGAAGCGAGAGAAAGCATTACATGGAAAGACTCTAAGCATTACATCCGTCTACCTCAAAGACTCAGGAATTGATGACTCTACAAATGAATGCCAATGAACGTAAAAGAAGGAAACCATCCAATATTAATTCATGAGATTTTACCGTGAGGAACGGAGTGGAGCTAAGGTTAGAATGAAGATTACATGTTATTTCCTTTACAAATCCTCTAACCGCAGATAAGTTGTCGTCTAGACATCCCAGTACATCACTTACATGAGGATTCATGTCCACCAGCCATTTGAAGTGGTGCCCCAATTAAAATTCATACACGTGACTCTACTAGCACCTTAAAGGGCATTCCATTGGTAGTGCACAAAGTGGCCTTACCCCTTTCTCCGCAATGCGAACAACAGTCCAGGTATTGAAAGGTGGCTGACAAGGCATTGCCGTTCACGCGTTTTGGACGAAACAAGAAACCAAATGAACATGACGTTTCATTAGGGACCCCATCATTTAGGTGGGGATTTATGCCATCAACTACTTTTGAGGTTGTTCCCTACTACCATCCAGACCAGTTAAAACTGTAAGACACCTCTTGGAGAGTCACCTTGGTTTGTTGGCGGCATGATGCCCGCTTGTTGCTGATCCAGGCGGCCTTTGGGCATTTCCTGTAAACAGCTGCAGCCAGTGACGAATCGGGCCGCTTTGGAAGCGGTGGTCACTTTGCATCATTCGTCACTTCCGACAACTGGGTGTGTGTGTGTGGGTTGAAAAATGGCGACTGCTTCTCGTATCTTCATGTGAGCTCCCTTTTTACCCCTGAAGGTCCTTAGTTTTGACGCACTGCACCCCCGCTCGTTCCTCACAAAAGCTGCACAGTCACTTGTACGAAAACCAGCACCAACGTTTGGATCTGTGTGCATGCAGCAAGAATATGATATGTGCAAAGTCAAGGGAAGCCCCCGCAATTTAGCAGTCTTCCTTCTGGGCTTCTCTTTGAATACCAACCAAAAAAAAAGCAACCTCAAGAAATCCCACACACACACAAGCAAACACAGACAAACACGCACACAACAGAGCGGGCCTCTCGATAGAGCTCCTCAGCCTGCTCAGTTTGCCCCACCGTCGCCAGCAACGTCGCCAAATTGTTGATGCTCCTCAGCTGGTCTGTTCAAATGCAGGGTTGGCCACTTGGCCAATCTCCATCCAGAATCCCCAGAAGGGAATCACTACAAAGGTGACTTTTTGCCCCCAAGTCAGACTTATGGAGATGGTCCCAACTCAGTCCACATGCGGAGCAGCCTTCAGCATCCCTCAAGTTGCTTTTGGACACCTTGCAAGGGCCGTTTTTTATGGAGACTTCACTCGTGCCTTATTTGAGGTCCAGCTTACTTGCGTTTAAGAACCCTAAGAAAAGGGGCCCACCTTCGCTAGTATAACATCGATGGAAGGGCCCTTTTTGGGGACCCCGGCGTCATGCATTTGGTCAACCCGAACCCTCATTGGTGTTAATCTGAATCAAAGGGGTCTGCCCGAAACTATTGCAAAGCATCAAGAGAGCGGATATCCACGTTCATGTCTCTTTGGGACTGCCAAACTAAACTTAAGGTTTGATCGTGGAGTGTGGCTCAAGTGGCTACACACTGCTGAAGTGCCTGCAAGCCGAAATATTGGACGTTTCTGAGGGAACCCCCTCAAATATGTCGCTTCATGTTGGCTTCCCTTGAAACCCAACTAAAAGGACGTGACAAAAAACATTGGACCTTTTGGGTTGAAAAGCAAACCTTTTGGAGGGGTCACCGGTTTTGGAATTAAGGCTACAAGGCTTCCAAATCGAGGGGGGGGGGGGACAGAATGGTGAGTAAGTTTTTTTGCAAATGACAATGAAGTGCCTTGGCCACCCCTATATCGCTTTATGCAACCATCAAACAGTCAGGCACTTAATGGCTGACTTCCCGCTAGCCATGATAGCTTTGCTACAGCTATGTTGCTTGGGATTACAATCATCAGTATCATTGCAACAGCGCTACCCCACCACTACCTTTCGCACCTGTGCCTTGGCTTGGCCTAATCACTCACAGTCACCCTGCTCAGAGCTGAGGCACAAGCGAATACTACTCGCGCAACCCAAAATACGGAAATCCAGACTAAGAACAATCTCCTGCGCGGCGCCTTTGTGGAGTTCTTGATAAAACGTCTGTATTAACTTGCAGGGACTTTTGGCCTCTCCTGGACCCACCCATGGCAGGATGCGTCAAGGTATCCGGGTGATCATTGCCTGAGCTCGCTGGAAAGAAACACAGAGTTGCAAGTTGAGCCTGCTTCGAGAGTTGAGCAAGCAAGCATGTCGAGGGATTCCGGAAGTACTTTGACATACGGTTTCGCATTGGTGCAAAGAGGTCCCCAAATTGTAACGCTGCGGCAAGGGTGGATGTATTTGTTCGCAGTCAAAATTATTCACTACATGCATGTGCATCAATATAAACATAAACAAATCAAAAACTCAGTTGCCCAAAACACCCATACATAAAAGGTTCATATTTTGAGGCCATGGCTAGAATTAGTAAGCATACAAAAACCAAAAGGTCAAAACATCCGCTTTGGGCAACTGAGATTAACATAAAAAAAAAAAAAAAAAAAAAAAAAAAAAAAAAAACGAATAAATCAATAATATATATATATAACATAAATAAACAAAACAACCAACAAACACTTCAAACAATGAACAAACAAACTCACAAATAAATCACATGAGTACATACATGAATAGACGTACACATGACCATATACGCATCAGGGGCTCTTGGATATTTGAGGTGCTGAATAGGGGGTCTGGAAACAAACACGAACAAATACCCCGAATCTAGGACCACTTAGCGAGAACAAGTAATTTACACGCTTGTCGTTCGTCATGGTGCGCCTCTTGATGCTGCCTTTCAGAAATTAGGGGCGCTCTTGCAAAGTACAACGCCTCTTCAGGGAGGATATTTCCGTGACCACGGTTGTGGAACATGAGCCTTAATGTCATACCACCGCACTCCCAAGAAACACACACGCGAAGACGATACAATCCAAATACGGAGCTTGTGCCACGCACTTTGACCAAATCTGGGTTGCTCTGCAGCCCTGAGCAAAGGACGATCACCTCTTGTAGGAACAGAAAAGTTAAGTGTTTCCAACAGGTCTCTCTGGGTAGACCTGGCATGCAATATGAGCAGCGCCCAAAACTCAATTTGCTGACATGGCCCGTGGCTGTAAAAGGTGTATTTCGCCTTTACTATAACCCCAATGAAAGCTAGGCAGGAGAAACACCGGCTAAAATTGGCCAACAGTGGTTTTGCTTGCTCGAACATGTGAAGAACCCCCCCCCCCCCCCCGGAGAAAAAAAAAAGAAAAGAGAACCGCCTGGATCCTTCACTTTGCGGAAGCTCTTCGGCTTCCAAGGCGCCCAAAAGGCGGCGCCGCCCAAACAGCGCCTGGCGGTAGAGCTGCTCCGCTTCCGGAAGCTGGCCTCGAACCGCGGGCCGATGATTTGTGCTGTCCGTTTCGTTTTGGGGTGCGGTGAACAATCAAAGTATACATTGGGGAAGTCACCCTGAAATCGCCCCAAGTAGTCTGGAAAAAGGGTACCATGAAACCACCCCCCCACCCGCGCTACCTGCCTTTTGACAAGCACGTCATTCTTCCACCGGGTCTTTTTGAATTCATTAGTAAGTGGCTTCATGAAGCCTTGCCTACTTGGCAGGAACGACAGAATTGTAGGGAAAGGGTAGTATTTGTTCTACGCTTTCAGCTCCTCACTTGATTGCGCCATCAGCAACAATTTGTGCAACTAAAGTTTGTGACGCAGGGCTGCAGGGGCTTCATGGGGCAACTTGAAGAATCTGCCGATTCTGGCCTGGCTCAGCTGGCCTGGCTCAGCTGGCCTGGCAGAAGGGTTGCGCTTACTTCGTAAGTCAACTCCAACATGTCCAAAGGCCTTCTTTTGCTCGAGAAGCGCTGAGGGCCGAGCCCTCCAGTTTCAGCAGCACCGCCAAGTTGTTGAGGCTCGTCAACATCTCGGGATTTTGCGCTTCCTGGGGCGTTAGCGGGAAGAAAACACGCAAAGAAATCTTGGCATTGTGACTCACAAACCGGACATATTCTATCCGTGGAATGGAAGCTATGAGTCAACTCCTTTTGGCCTCCCCGGTGGTGTCGCTGTGTTTCTTCAAGAACTTCGAAGGCGAGGCTCATCACACGTACTCTACGCAGTGATTTCTGTTGAACAGGGGCACTTGCCCGCCATCAAGCTCACATCTAATGGGGCTGCTTTCCCCAGATCGATCAGAAGAAATTGCAAACCGGAATCGGCCAACTTGAGCGGGATGTGGGTGTCTTTTTTGGGCACCCCATATGGTTGAAGCCAACTGGAAATCAACCCTTGAGACCCTCCAGAGCTTTTGAAACAAATGCAACTGGATTCCCAGTTGCAAAGAAATGGAGTGGCGCAAGAGCCCTCCTACTGGCCATCGGGCAATGGCATCAACTGTGGCCAGTGTGCTACAGGGTGAGTCACCATGAGATTCCAACGGTCGGAAGGGAAGCCGAGATCTCTATGAAAGGAAAACTGTGTGAGCTCGAAAACCTCCGGTAGGTGCGGTCGCTTCATTGTTTGCCTATAGCCTAAATAACTGCAGGCACGCCAAATGTATCCCGTGGCTCGTTTATGAAACTCAACACAAGGAAAAAAACAAAAATAATCAGACTCTGCAAACTCTCGCCAGCCAACAATGCAAGCAAACCATGACACACGAAACGTTGTGGATCTGGTGACTCGATTCGCCCTTCAAGCTATGGTCCAAACAAGGAGACAATTGACCCAACCAAGGCACCGGTCACACCTTAATGGGAGAAAGCCTCGATTCTCCGACCATGAACACCTGTTGGTTGCTGACCAAACCTGAAAGTTTGAAAATACAAACCCTCCCAATGTGTTGTTTTCGGTGTGGATTCGTTTGCTAATAATCATCCCACGAGGCAAACATGCACATGAACCAAGTTTGGACCATGTCGGTCACCTACGAGAACAAAATGCCTTTGAAATAAGGGACCTTCATCAAGGGCGGTCGCTTTGTTTGCCTCCGATCAGCGAGCTCCTCATAGTTTGTGCAGAATATAGCTTCCACATTGTCCCATGTTTCTATTCTGCCTCATCTTTCGGTTCGTTTGAGACACATTTCCTTGACCGTTGGCAAAGCCTTCTCACAAAGAAAGCCGCGCAGTGCCGAAGCGACTCACAGGCCCAGCTTCCCGGTAGTTGATGGCCTCGCGATAGAGCTGCTCTGCCTCGCCTGCAAGCTGGAGGAAATCCACCCCAATACGAGGGTTCTGGAAATGGGGGTCCCTGAAATTGGCGGTTTGCTTCTGGACTCCCTTCAATTCCCAAACAAATCCAAACAAAATGGGGTCCAACATTTTGAGAAACCCTATGAATACAGTACTGTGAATTCACAAAAGACCCTTTGCATCATTTCGCTCCCTCACGAAATGTGTCTTCCAGAAGTCTCCAGTCAGGTTCCATGATTCAGTATGATAACACTTGCCTATAACAATGACACAACTTGAGCAGCGCCCAAAACCTATTGACTGTTGGTTCTGCCAAGAGGGTTATAAAGGTTTGCATGGGCCTTGCTACAACCATCATAAGACCACGTAGTAGAAGCACCTGCCAACATGGAGTTTTTGGGCACTACTCGTTCTCAAGTTCCCCACCCCATTCTGATTGTGTGGGCCCTACCTCAAGGAGAGTCCCGCAGTTCCACTCCCAGGCTCACCCCATCCCCAATTCCATATTTTAAAGGAGTGGGGATACCACGAATCACTCAAACACTGGCACTGAAACAATGCATAAGTGTATACATACATATATATGGCTGGTTGTCAAAATGTTGGCTCCCAGTTTTGTAGCGTAAATCGCCATTCCATGGGGGCCCGTATCATTCGGGCCATATGAACACGTAACCATTGCGGCACAATACGTTTGACTAAGAAACGTGCAAACCACTGACAGGCGCACTAGCGCGGGCCTTTTCTTAAAGCTGCTGCTATAGGATATTTAAACACACAATAAATCCCAACGTTCTACACCACATCTTCAGCAAGTAGCAAAACGGAAATGCGTATATAGCTTTACTTGGCCTGACTACCAACTACAGCCAAGAAACATGCAAGTGGTTTCGTGGGTATTGCCTCCAGGCACGTGCCCACGTGTTCAAGTTGGCAACTGCCTGCTAGCGCGGCGCTAGCGCGGAGCTAGCGCGGAGCTAGCGCGAAAAACTGCCCATGTTTTCTTATTTTTCGCAGGGTCACGTGTCGCAAGGTCCGATACAGATTTCGTTACAGGCGCAACGCTTTCGGAAGGGCAGGCATGGCAGGCACCATGCATGCGCATCTCACGTGCCACGTCAACCAACGTCCCCGACCTAGCGCCGAGCTAGCGCGAAGCTAGCGCTGCCAGTGAGATTTGCATGATTTAGGTGGGGGCCCGCTTCATGTCGAAAAGGAAAAAACAAGATGCAACAGGAATTATGAACATACTGTATATAGCTGCTTAGCCGGCCTTGTTGAACGGAAGCCATATATTATACACATGTGGATCATAGTATTCATTCATTCATTCATTCATTCACTCAGTCATTCGTTCATTCGTTCATTCATTCATTCATTCATTCATTCATTCATTCATTCATTCATTCATTCATTCATTCAATTCATTCATTCATTCACTCAGTCATTTGTTCATTCATTCATTCATTCATTCATTCAATTCATTCATTCACTCAGTCATTCGTTCATTCATTCATTCATTCATTCATTCATTCATTCAATCATTCAATTCAGTCATTCAGTCATTCAGTCATTCAGTCATTCAGTCATTCAGTCATTCAGTCATTAATTAATTCATTCATTAATTCAGTCATTCATTCATTCATTCAGTCATTAATTAATTCATTCATTCAGTCATTTCATTCATTCATTCATTCATTCATTCATTCATGTCTGTCATGTCATGTCATGTCATGTCATGTCATGTCATGTCATGTCATGTCATGTCATGTCATGTCATGTCATGTCATGTCATGTCATGTCATGTCATGTCATTCATTCATTCATTCATTCATTCATTCATTCATTCATTCAGCTCAGCTCAGCTCAGCTCAGCTCAGTTCAGTTCAGTTCAGTTCAGTCAGTCAGCCAGTCATTCATTCATGCATTCACTGATTCATGAATGAACGAATGAATGCAAGAACGAAATAACGAAGACATAAGGACATGTAACACATAACGAATTGATGAATCAACCAAAACAATATACATATTTATTTTGTAAACAAAACATGCAACCAACAAATCAATAAATACATGTAAGTAAGCAAATAAATGAAGTAAAGAAATGAATACCTAACAACAAATAACACTAATTGCATACATCAACAAAACTAGCTAAACATACACATACACATAGTCAAATAAATAAACATTCAACAATGCCAGCAAATTGATGCATAGATGCATAAGTTAATGTGTGCTTTGTTTAACAGCAATTTACACGATCAATCATGCGTGTGATTGCAACATGCTAACAAAACGAAGAACAAACATGGTAATGATCATACTTATGATGATAACACGTATCATGTATACAGGCGCACCAAATTGCTCCACAATCAGCATGGTTCCACACCTTCTCCGCTCCCCGCCCCCTCCGGGTCTTCCGCGCCGTAGCGAGTTGGCCCTTGGCTCTTCAGCGCCACTGCTAAGTTGTTCAGCGCCCAGGGCGCACCACGACCCCGCAGGTTCAGTGCCCGTCGGAAGGCCTGCGGCTGGGGGCTAAACCTTGGGCTCACTGGGACCGTCAAAACGTCGAGTCGGCAACTTGCTGGCTGAAAAAAGGCTCCATGACGGAAAACGCAAAGAGGTGGAAAGGCAGGAGTCACCAAGTCTGGCAAGGAAAAGTTAGTCTATTTCGAACATGTGACAATCAGTCTCGAAAGATGCCAAATTTCCTATCACCTTTTGCCTCCGTTGATTTGCGCAGACTCGTCTGTTGCCTAAAATGGACCAGCGAGTAGAAAACGGTAACCAGGGTTCTGTTGTTGGGTTTTAAACATTCAAGCCCACAACAATAGATCTGAGCATCTAGTGGCCGTTGGAAAAGCGGCACCCTGCGTTTGGCAGTTGATTGTTGAGGGGTCTGCACCTCTAGAAAAGGTGAAACCAAGGGCCTCTTGGAGGTCTGACCCCCCCCCTAATTAGTCAAAGAGGGGTCCAAGAAAGCTACAACTGTTGCCAAAATGTGTCATGCTAGCCAACCTTATATAATCTGCACATCTCCCGTCCCCTACTTTTCCCAGCCCAAACCTCTGTGTCAACTTCCTGTTTGCCCTACATGGTGTATGGGCCCAAAAAGCAGATTCAGGGCCGTGCAAAGGAAGGTCCCCTGTGAAGAAACCTACCAATGAAACGTCGAAGCTTGCCAAGTCCCGAAGTAGACAACCCTAGACAGTGGTTTCTCGTTTGAACTGCGTTTCCCAAAGAAATTATGTCCCAGCTGTTCTCTGTAAATGTTTCTTGATCTTCTGTTTCCCACACTCGTGTTTTCCCCCAAAGGGCCATACGGGCAATGCACCCCCATCAACACCCACACCATGGAAAAAAGGATTCGGCACCACACTTTTCGACTACAAGTAGATTCAAACCCAGGATTGATTGATGTCTCCTTTAAAGGGAAACCCCTGGGTTTAAGTCACCTTGTAGTCCAAAAAGTGGAACCCTGTCGGCACCCGTTTTGTTTGACTCCTTTTTTTCAGGGAGGGGATTCCTCGCCTCCTCCGCGTCAACGGGCTTCTGCTGCGCCAGAAGTGCCACCCCTACGGCATCCAAGGCCTCTGCCTGCTCACGGAACCGGAACGAGAGGCCAAGCAGGAAAGGAACGCGTGATTCCAGTGATGTTTTGTTTTGGTTTTGTGTTTAAACCTGATGTTTTACTTCTTTTGTTGCTTGTTTAAAAGGCTTTAAAGAAGCTGTCCATAAATCTGTCAAAAGGCACACCTACCAAGGTTTTACATGTCCCAAACTTGCTATTTGGACAAAGGACATTTGTTCGGGGGAGATTGTTGTCCTGCTCAGGGATACGGCAGCCTTGAAGAGGGACAGATCCTGTACGCTCCTGTTATCCTTATGTTCCCCTTCCTGTTCCCTTTGGGGATGGTCAAAATGGCGACCCTCTAGGCTTCTGATGTTCAGAACACACAGCAAGCAGTCCACTCCAAACACTCGCACCTTACTATCGGGCACATAGGGGCACCCCCTTGCTTGAGTTACATAATATGATTGATGTGTCTCTGGATTTGTCTCGGCCATCTCTTTCCGAACTGGCACTTTCACAGGTCCGACAGAGCCTCAAGCCCGGTATCCTGACAAGTGATCGCGACTGACTTTGGGGGGCAAATCGCAAATGGGCAGATGAGTAGCTATGGCTTTTGAATTCCAGACTGGCACTGTGTGCCGCGTCGCATGGCGCTCAACGCTGCAAAGCATCTGTGCAATCTCCTGCTACCAACGCACAAGGCATGAGTTGGGACCACCCCAACAATATTGTAGGGGACTTCTGACAAACCTGGTGGGCATAGAGTTTCTTTAAGGACCCATTGTTTTAGAAAGCTCCAACCTGTAGTGCCAACCCCGGAGGTATCAACACAGCGAATAAATAGGGTGTGTGTCTATCACAAGTGATCCGGATCCCCTCTCGAATGAGAGCTACTACTCAAAATCAACTCGGGGTTGTTTATCCTAGGTGACCATTAAAACTCGTAGCCATTTGACTAAGATTCGAGCGGTCTGAATGGCAGTGGGCAGGCGCTGTGATGGAGCCTGCGCATTTTCAAACAAAACCACCTGCAATGCACAAGGGGTGGCATTTGGCACTGGGTGATTTCACTAGCCCAGATGCATAAGACAAATCTTGCCCTCGGCTCGCATTTGCCTCGGCCGGAAGCTCCGCTCGCCGCTCGAGGCTCCGCACGGCTCCGGTGGCGCGAAGGCGCCGAGCGCGGTTGGCCGCGTCACCGAAGGCGCGAAGCGCAACCGCAGGCCGAGGCCTGCGATGGCATGACGGGTCCGGCTCAAGGCCTCCACGTGGTTGGGAACCCTTGCTTCATGCTTGGGAGAAACAGGTGGTAGTCTTCTGGTTGGCCAGGCTGGGGCTTCGAGCAACTCGAAGCTGCCACCAAATCAAGCCAATACGCAGCGCTAGCACCAAGTACTGTAACCAGGGATGCTGGAGATGCGGCCGTCCAGCCAGCCAGCCAGCCAGCCAGCCAGCCAGCCAGCCAGCAGCCAGCCAGCCAGCCAGCCAGCCAGCCAGCCAGCCAGCCAGCCAGCCAGCCAGCCAGCCAGCCAGCCAGCCAACCACACAGCCAACCAACCAACCAACCAACCAACCAACCAACCAACCAACCAACCAACCAACCAACCAACCAACCAACCAACCAACCAACCAACCAACCAACCAACCAACCAACCAACCAACCACTTCACTCAGTTGACCCGGGTTAAGCCCTGACAAGTTTCGCCTGTCATTTTCAAAACCAATGTATCTGTATCGAGGTCTGGAAAACCTGGCATAACAATGATCGACCCAAAGCAATCAAAAGGCAGGATATCCAAGATTTGTGGTTGGGACTATCCCAAGCTGCACTTACTCATGTTTTGATTGTGGAACACTTTCTATTGGACAACCACGATCTAAAGGAGACCAACGCCAAATCCTTTCGAGCGTTGCCCAACTGAACAGCGCAGGTAGGAGGATATCCAAAGAGCACTAAACGAGCACTAACATTCGTGGCCCAAAGGGAGAAGATGTGAAATCCACAGGCGCGTCCAGACCGCTGTCTAAGCTTTGAGGCCCCATGAAGGCCGCTTTTACAGGTTCGCAAAATATACATGAAATCCAGAAAGGGGCCCCCAAAAGCAGATACCTCTAAACATGATTTGTCGGATTCCATTCGTACCTGCAGGAGTATTGAAAGGGACAAGGGGATCGTGTATGCTTGGTGTTGAATCTGAATGGGACCATCCAATGATGACTGGATCGTTGGACACCAAGCTTTCCTGTAGAAAGTGCTCTCTCCAAACAATATTGTCGTGCATGATGTGCGCCCTTTTGGACAAACAAATGGCACTGGCAAAAATATTGCAGCATGTTGCAACCAAACTGAAACCAGTGCAATCTATGTTCAACCAAGCTGACACATAAATGGCACCTACACAAGAGCAAATTTGCTTTTGATGCCGTGGGCGAGTTTGGCATGCACTTGCCAGTTGAGCCAAGAGCGCTCTCGAAAGATGGTGACTCTCAAATCCGCGCCCTGAGGCAGGAAGACAGTGAGGGTTCTCAAGAAAGCTATGGCGATTTCAGGAACTTGCTTCAGCATGTGTGCAGTGCTTACTTATAAGTACATTCAGGCATGGCAGGGTTCATCTTTCTGAGGACATGACTGAGCAGAGTCAAGCGACAGCTACTGCCTTTGGTTCATGCAAGCTGCCTGGCAAGTGTCCTTCTTACAGGCAATGAGTCCCGCGACAAGTCAGTCGCTGAGTTTGCCAAGTGCTATCTGACTATGAAACTGTGGAACAGAGATATCTTGCAGTCTCTTGGAGCGGGAAGTCCGAACATATGGATCCAGCAACGACCAACAAAGTCGCAGAGCGCCCACAAGTCAGCCTTGTACTGAGGCTCATGCTGGTCGTCACATGAAAAATATCATCATTCATCAGTCAGGGTTCCCGATATTTCCCGGTGCAAAAGCAAATGGATTGTTGGTTCCACCAACTTGGTCAAAGAAGCTTACAATGAACTGACCATACTAGAATCCATGCAGCCAGGAAGTGAACCGCTTGTGGCTTAATGGGCTAGGAACCCACTTGGAACCAGGAAGTCAAACACCTCCTAAAAAGCCAAGTGGGGGTGTCGTTTTTTGCGGACTCCCGAAAATGGTAGGTTTCCTGGTTCCTGGTAGTTTCCCGTGAGAACCATCTAAAAAGGGGTACCCTCAAACAAAGACATTGCCAACTTCAAAATTGGGAATTGCTCAAATACCCTTCCCACCTCGGTGGCGACAGCGGAGAAGGCAGCGCCCACAGAACGGCATGGCCCGCCAGCATGGCCAACTCCACATTCGGAAGACTAAGTGGTTGGTTCTAATTCCAATTGGTGTGGTCCTTTTGACTGCTTTTGTGGGGCCTGTTTGGCATACTTCAGACAGTAAACCTGCTAGTCCGTGTATGTTTCTAATCAAGTATTCTCAAAAGGACTACGTACCCTGCTACCACGACTACTTTGTGATGTTGACGTGGTTGAGTAGTGTTGACGACCCAGCGAGAAACCTCCCCAGTATTTGTCCAAGTGGCATATAAATCCTCACAGAAAGCTGGATCCCAAAAAAGCTGAAATAAAGTGCCAAGGAAAGTATTCCTCTGAGGCACAAAAGGCCAGGGAAGTCGCACCAAAGGCTCCACATCACTTCCTTCAGGTTCAGCTCGGACATGCTGATCTCTACACTGTCCAGCCGCAATTTGCTGCGTGATGAAATCTTCATTTGCACGGCCATGTAAATGGCCGCACTTGCCTGACAGCGCAAGCACACACACAATCACACACACACAATCACACACACAATCACACACAATCACACACACAATCACACACAATCACACACAATCACACACACACAATCACACACACAATCACACACACAATCACACACAATTACACACAATCACACACACAATCACACACACAATCACACACCCACACAATCACACACACACACAATCACACACAATCACACACAATCAAACACAATCACACACAATCAAACACAATCACACACACACAATCACACACACACACAATCACACACACACACAATCACACACAATCACACACACAATCACACACACACAATCACACACACACACAATCACACACACAATCACACACACACAATCACACACACACAATCACACACCCACACACACACACAATCACACACACACTCACACACAATCACACACACAATCACACACACACAATCACACACACAATCACACACACACAATCACACACACAATCACACACACAATCACACACACACAATCACACACACAATCACACACACAATCACACACACAATCACACACACCCACACCCACACACACAATCACACACACCCACACACCCACACACACACACAATCACACACACAATCACACACACCCACACACACACAATCACACACACAATCACACACACACACACACAATCACACACACAATCACACACACAATCACACACAATCACACACAATCACACACACACAATCACACACACACAATCACACACACACACAATCACACACACACACCCACACACAATCACACACACACACAATCACACACACCCACACACACACACACAATCACACACACAATCACACACACACAATCACACACAATCACACACACAATCACACACACAATCACACACACACACAATCACACACAATCACACACAATCACACACAATCACACACAATCAAACACAATCACACACAATCAAACACAATCACACACACACACACAATCACACACACACAATCACACACACACAATCACACACAATCACACACACACAATCACACACACAATCACACACACACAATCACACACACAATCACACACACACACAATCACACACACAATCACACACACACACACAATCACACACATACTCACACACAATCACACACACAATCACACACACACAATCACACACAATCACACACACAATCACACACACAATCACACACACACAATCACACACACAATCACACACACAATCACACACACACACACACAATCACACACACAATCACACACACACACACACACCCACACACACAATCACACACACACACACCCACACACACACACACAATCACACACACAATCACACACACCCACACACACACACACAATCACACACACAATCACACACACACAATCACACACAATCACACACAATCACACACACACACAATCACACACACACAATCACACACACACAATCACACACACACACCCACACACAATCACACACACACACACAATCACACACACCCACACACACACACACACACAATCACACACACACACAATCACACACACACAATCACACACACACACAATCACACACAATCACACACACAATCACACACACACAATCACTCACACACACACGCACACGCACACGCACACGCACACGCACACGCACACTCACACACACCCACACCCACACACACACACACACCCACACACACACACAATCACACACACACAATCACACACACAATCACACACAATCACACACACACAATCACACACAATCACACACACAATCACACACACACACAATCACACACACACAATCACACACACACACAATCACACACACACAATCTCACACACACACACACACACAACAACCAGACTCCCGAGCCAAAGGTACACCGAACCAGCAGAATACGCTAGGATGGTTCGTTGGCTGTGCGGTTGCTGAATCACTTGGCATCAATGCTGTGTCGGCGATTGCTCTTTGGACATCTCGATGAGTTAGTACGCTAACACATGTTGCTCCGTGTTGTGCTCTGATGCACAAAGATAGTTGCTTCTCCCGGGCTACACCAACTCATGGCTGGCAGCCCTTGCAAACAGGTTCTTCCCATCTGTCCCAGCAAGTCACAAATGGGCACACGTGGCTGAGAAAACTAAACACAAACACGACAACAAGAGGGCTGTATATCTGTTGTTCAGTGATGTTCAACGCACATACTGACTGAGTTGTCAGCTATGGAGATACAGCACCCGTGACCAAGGCAACCATGAAACCGCGAAGGCTGGCTGGGGCCCCGGGCCCTTTGGCTGTGCTCAGCCTCCAGTCCTAATGCGAGGCTTTGGGAGCGAGGACATCTTGAAAAGGCGACGTTTCCTTCAATGCTGGCTTGCAAAATAGGAATCCTCGTACGGTGTGATGGGTATTTGGATTGACACCGCTAGTAGCGACTCATCAATTTTATATTAACTTACGTTAGGTCAAAAGGCAAAAAGTCATACCAACGTGCAACCCAAGGTAAGGCAGTGCTTTGACTGTGGCACCTGTGGTGATGTGCCGCATTGAGAACCCCCACGAATTCTCACTATGTTGCAGGCTCCAACATGATCAAGTGACCAGAAACCTCTTTTGCCTAACGCGCCACCGAAAGGCCGAATATCCATTAGCCAATTCCATTTTACCTTTAAGCCAGCAGGGTTTGTTCTGGTATTCGTATTCTCGGTCAGACCATTTCACCTTTCCGCAGGTCCTCCAAAACGGGCAAGGGCGGGCTTATCCTTGGGAAATCTGCCTTCTTGTTGCAACAACTCCAAAACCTGAAGGGATCCCCGAGTGAAGGACCTACGTCAGCTCGTTTAACCTCCGAATCAGTGAGCTCGCCGGCCCGTCCGACACCAGTCTGGCGACCCCGTGCCTGACCCAGGGACACGCGCAGCAGGAAGCCATCGGCAGAGGCGCAGACCAACGCGGAGTTGAAGCTAGCCTGGATTGGACGAGGTCACCCTCTGACATACAACCGCAAGCAACCCACCTGAAAATGCACTGCCCCCTAACCCAATGGATCCCATGCCACCATACCAGCCATCTTTCTTCTAACTTTGAATGGTGGTGCATTACTTTTTACTATAAAGGAGACTGGACTCCCTGAGTTATTACACCTCCACGCCTCTAGGCAACCCACCTGAAAATGCCCTTGAAAGCCAGGACGATTTGTCCACAACCTTGGCTTTACCGCAGTTCTTAAACATCGGAAGCCGTTAACTCAGGCCACCGTTGGCGCGGTGATGGTTTCAGGGAGTTTGAAGATGGTCTCGCGTCCAGCGAGACAGAATGTTGGCATGATCGCACAACCAGCTCCAGGGGTGCTATACACCCACAATCCCTCGAACTTGACTGCAACCTTACAAATACTCAAAGAGGAAAACACATTTGGGCTTTGGGGTTCATGTTAGTGTGGGGTTCCAAGACATACCTGAACGTTCAGGAAGCAGCATGGGTTGTTCAGGGAGTTCCGGTGTTAGGTTGCCTTGTTGCATTGTCAAGTAGATATTGTCTAGAAAAGAGTGGTTCCTACATGTGCGTTCCGCGGCTCCACTTTGTGTGGTGTCAGTTGCTGGGCGGAACTTCAATCTAAGAAAAAACGGCAGAATGCAGAACATCTATAGGAGATGAGCCCCACTCTAGCTGTTCTTGTTGGAAGTTGTGCTAATTCCCGCACAAACTGCAGCAAGAAGAACAAGGACAGTGGTCTTGACAGGTGGAATTCGCAAGCTTCCTAGCTTGATACTGGAAGGCTCTTTGGTTCATGCAAAAGGTCACCAGGGATGTTACCGCTTAACCCAACTTCGACCCCTGCAAACGTTTTCACTTGTTGCTAGTTCAACAGGAAACTGGGCAAAACCCAAAAGTCCAAAACAGCAAGAAGGGCTAGCTCAGGCAACCCTGTCGTTCCTAAGTGCGGTTTCTTCTGCTTTTATGCTTTGAGGCCCCCCCCACACAGCAGGCTATAGGGCAAGAAGAAGCCTATACGGCTGCCCAGTGCCGTGGATGATGTTCTTGGCTACGACTGCAAATCAACGTGAATCCCAAAACAGGCGATACCTCTGAACAACTTGCGTAACGTTCTCCAGCCTTGTGCGCCCATCGAAGCTCATCCCCGTCATCCTGGGCCAGGCGGGGAGAAAAAAGCCACCCAGCCTCATGCGCTACATACCCCGTGGCTGGCGCATGTGGAAACCTCCCTTTTTCGCGTTGTGTGGCAAAACGGACAGGCACTCATTTGCTCGTCCCTCAAAAAACAGCCAGACAAGCCCCCGAACAAAAAACCACAGCCAATCACTTGTTTCCCTCAGACATCGGGGCTCCCAGCGAGGCGCATCGCCTGAAGGCCCTTCCCTGGGCGCAGTCCCCGGAACTTGTCCAGGGACACCTGACCGTCGCCGGCTCGAACTTGGTCAATTGGAAATGTTGGGTTTAGGTTGGCCATTCGAAAAAACAATGTTTGAAACAAGTTGATACGTGCATGGCGAAGTGTGGCTTCTTTTCTGAAGACATTCAAGTGTTGTCCCAGGACAGGTGGCAAAAGGACGACACCACCCGGTCCACAACATATTTACTCAGCGTACTTAGCGTGTCCGCAGCCAGGGATGGACTCAATGCTTCGGAGCTCAACATTGGCGTCAACAAAGGGCACCCTGCTGGAACTGAGCCCTAGCAACCGTGGACCTTGAAAGTACCTTGCTGACAAGCGCCCAACGGGCCCATCTTCAGACAAGAACGGCGACTGACAAAGGCTCCTTGCGCACATCGCTGATGCAGTCCCTGTTGATGAGCACCAAGCGCATGTGTGGTTGGCACGCGAACAGGAATGTACATCTGGCTGAATCATATCATGGGTGTTTGACAACCCTTTGTGAGGTAGCCATGATGTGCCAAAGCCATTACCTCGCAGCCCGCGAGCACGCCTTCTTTGCGAAGCCGTGCTTCGAGACGAGGACCACGAAGTCATCAGCTTGGTCCCTGACAACGAGGACACTAACACAATTCAACCGAATATATGGGAACCCAACTGGATGAGTCTTTCTTTTCGTTTCCTAGCCACAAAAAGGGGGTACCCTCAAAACAAAACACACCCAAACAAAGAATCTTCATCATGGGTGAGGCTGCAGACCTCCTTTGTAAGGTTGCATTGCTTACCCCAAGCAAGATACAATGCTGGATAGCCTGGAAGTTGCCCCATGACAATGCATCAATTGGATGCATGTTAAGACTCAAGACAGAAGACCACGGACCTTGCCAAAGGGTGGTATCATATCGCAAAATGGTTCGCTTTCCCATGCATGCTAAGCCACTGGGCAGTTCACCGATTTATTCTATAGATTCGCCAACCGCTTTTACAGTCGGTTGAGGTGGATGACACAATTCCCCAAGCTTATCTTACTCACCCCCTTACTTACCCAATGGCGCCATCTACTTTCACATTGGTGTAATGAAAGGAACCTTCTGTTGCAAACCACCTTTAGGGTCGTCACACTCCAATGCCACGCAGTACAAACACCCTCACCACAACTTGCGCTTGTGTGTTTCTTCGACAAACCGACTTAGCAAGCTCACAACACAAACACGAAAACAGTGTTTCACGCGGTTAAGCAATGTCAAAAACACGGAGTTCCTGGAAGACGTTGTTCCTGGGAAAGGACTCTCTGGTTCACTTGCGAGGGTGCTCAGTCCGCCAAAGTGCCTCAAGCCTAATGCATGAGCAAACCTGACTGCCCTCAATATGGCAAGTAAACCAACATTACTCAACCGCACAACCATGGTAAATCAAAGTAACTGGAAGAAAAGAGCTCCCTTGTTCCCCTACTCACAATTTATGGGGCACCCACCGCACTGTCGATGGACGAAGTCCTGCACCAGTTTGTAGGTTGTTCATCCCAATCTTCATAAGGCTTCATTCATCGCAACTGGTGCAGGACTAAAGTCCTGTAGGGGAACCAAAAGAAAGGAACCTTATGAAGACATGTCATCAACCATGCTAACTGCGTGTGTCCTTTCATTTGTTGAACGGAAAACAAAAGGAAAACCGAAGCCAGTTACGGGGGTTCCATAAAAAAGACACCCCCAACGACAAGTCACAACCCAACCCCTGGAGTTTGGTTCAAAGCAGCCGCTTTTGTTCCTCTTGGCTCTCCTTCCATGGGGCTCCCGCCTTAGCCTGCCCTGTGAGACAGTGACCAGGGCCGTGATGGAGTGATCTTCCAACTCTGGGAGGAAGTCCTCTCGCCAACATGGCTGCGGCCGAAACTTTGGTGCATTCCCTTCCATCTTGTTGGCCACTCCTGCAGGCTTAGTCTCAAGATGAGGCCCCTCAAAATAGTTGGTTTCTGCTGGGTGTCCCATTAAAACCAACAAAAAAACACGAACCCATGTATATTTACTTCTTGACATATGTTCGAATTCGACCAAACCAAAGGAGTGTGTTGACAGGTCTTTACCAAACGAGACACCTTTGCAACAACCTGCAATCTGAAAGTGCAGCCGCTCCAGCATACAAATCCTCACAGAAAGTCGGTTGACGAGTCAGAAAGCAAAGGGTACCATCACCTTGGTACGGCCAACTCAGTTCAATTCAATGCTAAGGCCAATTGGATCCTCAAAAAACTTTCTGAGAGTCCAGACTACATGCAATCTGGGCAACTTGGGTACACTTCACAAATCTGCAAAAATAATCCCCAAGCAAGGGACCACGTAAGCTGATTTTACTCCAGATAAGCTCGTTACAAGCGGACCAAATGGAATGGCTTTTTTGGTTTTGTGGCTTTGAAGATCTGCGCGTGGCAATTTGCAGCTGACAGCAGTGTGGCAAAAAGGCAATCAGCCTGTGGAATAGCAACCAGTCACTATCACATGTCAAAAGTACAGAAACACACATAAACAACAACAACAACAACAACAACAACAACAACAACAACAACAACAACAACAACAACAACAACAACAACAACAACAACAACAACAACAACAACAACAACAACAACAACAACAACAACAACAACAACAACAACAACAACAACAACAACAACAACAACAACAACAACAACAACAACAACAACAACAACAACAACAACAACAACAACAACAACAACAACAACAACAACAACAACAACAACAACAACAACAACAACAACAACAACAACAACAACAACAACAACAACAACAACAACAACAACAACAACAACAACAACAACAACAACAACAACAACAACAACAACAACAACAACAACAACAACAACAACAACAACAACAACAACAACAACAACAACAACAACAACAACAACAACAACAACAACAACAACAACAACAACAACAACAACAACAACAACAACAACAACAACAACAACAACAACAACAACAACAACAACAACAACAACAACAACAACAACAACAACAACAACAACAACAACAACAACAACAACAACAACAACAACAACAACAACAACAACAACAACAACAACAACAACAACAACAACAACAACAACAACAACAACAACAACAACAACAACAACAACAACAACAACAACAACAACAACAACAACAACAACAACAACAACAACAACAACAACAACAACAACAACAACAACAACAACAACAACAACAACAACAACAACAACAACAACAACAACAACAACAACAACAACAACAACAACAACAACAACAACAACAACAACAACAACAACAACAACAACAACAACAACAACAACAACAACAACAACAACAACAACAACAACAACAACAACAACAACAACAACAACAACAACAACAACAACAACAACAACAACAACAACACAAAACAAGTGCAGGATAACAACAAGAATGCCCTGATTGCCAAACAATATTGGTTGTGACTTATGACGAACCATGTATTCGTGGCAGTTTCTCTTCAGAATGTCGGGACTATATGAGCAAAGGTGCGTAGATCAAATGCAACTGGACACGTTCAATGCTTCGTTCCCGAAAGCGCGCCATACCGTTGACACGCAGACCCTCGAAACATGGTTGGGTTCCTCTGGTTTCCCTCTACCAACCAAAACGGGTGCACTCAAAACGCACGCAATGGGGAAGCTCAAGCTCGTCACTGGCTCGTGAGAGCGTTCAAACATCAAATCAAAGAGCCTTCTTTCTGTTTTGAGGGGGACCAAATCCAAAAGCAGAAACTGGCTTGGGTACAGGGCTCATCTACTTCTCCTTTACCACTCTTTTACTCCATTGAGGCTTACCCTCTGTCCAACAATCGTACAGGATGGAGTTTGAAGACTACCATCATCTTGAAAATCACCCAAAGTTCCATTTCCATCATGATTGGACAAAGGGTTCCGATTTGCTTTCGCAGGCCCTTCTGCGATGCTTTCGCGACCACGATCCATTTCCTGTGAATTGCTTTCGCGGCGGGCTCTTGCTAGGACACCCCGCTTTACTACTTTTCACTACCAGGGTGCATTGCACTGCTCACCCGGGTGTGTTGTTTTTGAGGTTACTGCCTTCTTAGGTTGAGTTCCACGAAAAAACACGGGAAGAGAATGCTAATTCTTACGGGCTTACCGCTTGCTTATTTCTGTGGCTATTGCCCCCGATGGAAAGGTCGTAACTTTTTGTTGCTTAGTGGGAAGCTATGTATGTGTTCACAAAGTGAAAGGCTGAAGATCCAACCATATAGCACATCCTCCCAAATGTCCTTTGGAAAACTTGAACCTGAAGGGTGCGTCCTTCTTTTTTAGGGGAACCCCCCCCCCCCCGCAGAAAAAAAAGAGTGTAGTTTTTTCCTTCCCTCTCCCTTTAAATTAAGCCACAAGAAAAGGTATCCCCAAAACAACAAACCCACAAGATGTTGGACCTCCACGCGGAGGCAGGACCAATCACTCCGCCGGAAGTCCGCTAACTCGCGGGTGGGATTCGTTTGTCGTTTGCCCTTTCTGCGCTTCAGACAATTCTGAGTTGGTGGTTTGGATTGGTGACTGGGGATTTGAACTTGAACCCCTACACGCAGTCGCGCAGCTCCTTCAGCTCGGTGCCCTGGCACTTGGCCTTCTTCGCCAGCGGCACGTCCAATGCCTCGAAGGGCTGCTAGACATGCATTCTGTCAGGCTTGCTTGCTTGCTTGCTTGATTGCTTGCTTGCTTGTTGGTTGTTTGCGTTTGCTTTTGCTTATTTGTATGCGTGTTGCTTTTGCTTACCTTGCATCTGTTTTCTTTCTTGGGGGGCATCTCTGGGCAACTTACCAAAAAAACAAAGAGGTGAAAGAACCCTGCAGTAAAGTTGCTTTATCATGGGTGATCTCGTTTAATCCCCAAAGCTTGTTCTTAAGTTGCCCGAACATATCCAACGCCTGGTAGGCAGTCTGTGTGTCCCAAAGGCGTGGGATTCTAAGCGAAGCCCCGCAGGCCACACACCTCAGGGCTCCTTATGCCCCTTGAACAGGGGAAGCGCGATTTTCACCCTACAAACATGGCCTTTCCGATGGTGACTTTCTTGTTCCACCGTATTGGAAAAAGGTGATGTTTATTGTTTCCTTTGCCCCGACCTGAGTCAAGAGCCTACGGTCCTTGAAAAACATTGGGACACAGGGTCTGGCAACAAGGCAACAAACGCACGGACTAGCTGTCGAGCCATTGTGCTGACCGAGCTGCCAGAAGTCACGATCGGAAATGGAAAAGATCCACACATTTTGTCGCAAATTGTCGTCCCATCTTTTTCATTGATGTTAGCCCCACTCAAACGAAATCTCCTCGTTGGACCCGGCCCGAGATTTGGGGGCTTCCGGGTCTCTGACCAACTGACCTCCCGCCTGAAGCATGTACACAAAGCCGTGCTCCGAGAAGACTAGCAGCGCATCGAAATCATGGCCTCGGGACGTTTCAGCCCGACTCGGCCGCCATCATACAAAACGAGCAGATCGGGCGCTACACATGCAGAGCAGTTGCGGTGTGACCATGGCCTTTAGGCTGCCGAAATGGCAGGGCTTATTTAAACTTTATTAAGCCTTATTAAGCCTTATTAAGCCACATTCGATAACCAGTAAATAAGGCTTATTAAGGCTTAATAAGGCTTAGTAAGGCTTAACAAGGCTGAATAAGGCTTATTCCCCTTCACGCTGCTTGGCTGCGCAGGGTTGGTGCTTATTCATTTGGGGGGGTGGCTTTGGGGGGGGTAGCTGCTCTCTTCCTGAAAATAGGCAAACTAAATCATAAGATATACGGTACATGCTAGCTAGTGATGTCAACTAATGTCAACTACACGTCCTACCAATAGACATACCAATAAACCAATATAGAGCAACCAAGTCACCAAAAGACAACGCAAACTACCGACTTTCGCACAATTCCCCATAAACAACTTACTTTTGGCCATGTTGCCTCAAGGTTTGTTTAAGCTTGAAGAAGAGCTCGGCTCTGCATGATTCACAATCAAAACCCCTGACTACAGTAATAGGGTGCACCCAAACCAACGAAAAAAGTCAAAGGGCGGCCGCACCTATCTGTGATTGGGACTTCACCGTACTGTGTTCATCTGCCCAGGTCTTGGCTATGACTGAGATGCTGCTGATTTCTCAGAAGACTGTGCAAACATATTGTTGCATCAGGGCCTCATCTGAGAGAACACCCGTAACCAGCTGATAAAATGAGCAAACCAATACAGCAGCCCCGAAGAAAAACCAAGGGCAACACTATCCAGCGTCGAGACCCAAATGCTGAACCAACTTTCGGCCAACACACGTACACTTTCGGCAACACTACCCGGCCATTGCGAACTAGACACTTCTGAGAGGCTTCCCTTCGCTGTCATTAAATATCCCTGGTGCAGTATCACAGTTTCGCTGTTGCCTTGCAACTTGCTGATATCACCGAATTGCGGTTGTTGCCCTCAAAGTGCTGACGGTACTACAGCAAGCACGTTCTATGTGTGTTTATATCTTGGTTTGGAAGTACCCTGCTACATGTAGGGCTTGTTGCAGCCAGTGCTTGGCAAAGCTTTGGCTGAGTGCACCAGCAATGTTGGACTGGCTCTAGATGCAAGAGACTGGTGCAAACAATGAATTGCTCACAACTGCCTGGGGGTCTCCTACCAAAATGCCATCCTGCAGCACACATCGGCAGGTCAGGCTTTGTATGCATATACAAATGTAATTAACACTTGTTTGATGGCCAATGGGGAAGTGATAAAACCATGTTTAGTCCGGCTATGCTTTGTCAAACGCAACGAACAGCTGACATGTTGTTGGCAAGCTATGTTCCTATGAAGTCCTACCCTCCCATGAAGAGCCCTTGAAGGGCCTGCCTTTCGCGGTACGCACCTGTGCCAGAACTAGATGAGAGCAACTGTTAAGAGGAGGTCCACGGTTTTGACATACATCGCCCCCTCATGCCTGTCCCTCTGGGCCAAGGACAGCAGAAGACGCCCGCCAAGGCGACCTCTGAGTGTTGAACAAAAGGCACATATCTAAATAAAGCAAAACATTTTTCATAGACCCTCCAAAAAAACAAAGGGGCGATTTCCTCTAGTCGTGACTGTTTCTGCAGGGTTCTGTTGTCAATTGTTCACGACTGCAAAAGTCAGAGCCATGGGTATGAGATCTAACAGTAATTAAACATCACCGGGATGGATGCAACCACCAACCGTTTGAGTAGCTCAAAAGCGGTGGCTCTTGTCGTTGGTATTCCATGCAATTGAATTGATAGCCAAGTAAGATTGGACGCCCTCCAGCAAGCCAAACCGACGAAGGGGCAATTAAAATAGCATCTACGTAGAATCGGCATGTGGAGTTGTCTCAAAATAGTGGATCCACCAACCCAGGGTACCGTCAAAAACAATATGTGATTATCACACAGACTCCGATCGGAATGGATGCATGGTTGCTAGCTGCTGTCATTCAAGAAACAATGCCTGGCAAATCTTCCTGGCTAACATACAGCTATATAATCACATTCCTGGTCAGGTTGGTTTGGGTTCTGCAAATAGTCTCATGTGTGCCCACATGTGCTAGTTGAAGTTGTACTTCTCCCAACTGGCAAGAAAGACATGTCAACAGCCTGGTCCACTCCATGATTGAATTGGGAGTTTCTAAAAGTATAAGACTTCAGAAAGTGGTTTATTGCCGTTCGGCATGTGGCGGGCCTCCTTTAATACAAGCAGCGAAAGGAACCTTCATCATGGGGGAAGACTTGCTTTTATTTTGTGACAATTGCTGTAGTTTGCCCAGAAGAGGCATTCCGCACAGTATCTACGCAGCAGTATGGTCTCTTTTCAGACGTTCGCCGCTTCGGGTTGGTTCGTGTGGGGCGGGGAAGCTTGACTCCCGCAATACTGGACATAAATCAACCCTCAAATAAACTTAAACCAAAATGCTGAATCAGAACCTGATACCTGGTTTCAAGAAAATCGAGCGCTACGTGTCCGAAATGTGACAAGCGACATGCACTATAAATTCCGGAATCGACAAGCAAGGAACCTTTACTGTAGCTACAGCCAGTACTTCTTCGATTGGTCGCAAGAAGATTGAAGTGTATGCACGCCGGCTGTCTTGTGGGAACTGCGAGCTGATGCAAAAAGCCTGGATCAATCATTCTACTCCACCAGTAAGGAAGTACTACCCAGAAGGGATGCATCACGAACTGGAGCATGAATCTTAAGCATACACAATTAGAAAACAAGGTCAGTCTATGACACCTAAACAGCATTCTACAAGATATACACGCCATAAACAAATGAAACTAGTAAACCCTTGGATGCAACCTTCGTCTGATGCTGATTCAAAATGTGTATGACTGAAACAGGTAATAGGGCGTTTCTTTGTAATTGCGAAAGAAACTCATTCATAATACAATAAGTTTACATTCCTGGATCCAGGATCCAAGGTTGTTAGGGGACGTGAGCCTTATCACAAAGTCTAGACCCAAAGGACAAAGATGACTAAATCGCGGGATTTAGATGTTCAGAGGTTCATCTGCTTGATAAGTCATCATCATCATCCTCATCCTCATCATCATCATCATCATCGGCACGATGCTGATGTTTCCCAAGCTTGCATCAAACAGCATGAAAGGGGCAACCGTCAAACAGATAGCGTTTCGCCTAGATCTGTTTGTAGACATGTGTGTGCGTGCTTGGGGACAAAAGTTGGTGTATACAACTGTATATACATATACAAGTCCACCTTACCAGTGCATTGATTGCTGAGCTGAGCAGGTCGATGAATCTGGGTTCCCGTGTATATGCCTGGGATAGGAAACCAAACAACTTTCCCAACCCTGCCCTTTACCCTTGGTCACATGGTCATGGTTAAACCATCAACCCTGAGTAAAGTAAAGGGCAAGGGGCACAGTAGGCAAAGGGCCTCCTGTTCCGACCCTTGCCTCGGGGCTCTGATCCTCATCCTCCTGACCAAGCCGGTTTCATGCCAAGCCGGACAGAACCGAGGCTAAAAACATCCATAAGAAGGTTGCTGGGGGCCAAAAAACAGTTTGAAAGTCAAAGGAACTCAAAGGGTTTGAAGCCTCGGCTTCAGGAAGAAACAAAAACTCGCATGCTTCTGGGAATTTGGCCCACAAAGCCCCACGGAGTATTGTGGATGTGTGTTTCCTTGGACGGGGCATGTTGGGCTTTTAGAAGACATCCTCCCAGCTTAGAAGAAACCCTTGGAGCCAGAAAACGTGGAACGACGACGTTTCACATGGGTATTGTGTGGAAACCAGTGGCAAGCACGGAGCACCCAACAAAACACATTGCAGCACCACGTGTTGCGTGACTTTCGGAACAAACGCAAAACTAAACTCTACTTTCTCCCCGGCCCTAAACTGAGCTAGTGAAATTGCTCTTGGTTTCCCCGAATGTGTATGTGTTGCGCTGTTTGTTTGTGTGTCCGCGTCTGTGTGTGTACAGTGTGTTTGAGTGCGTGTGTGTGTGTGTGGTGTGCCAAGGATAGTGCGTATGGGTGTGTACGTGTTCGGATGCCGTGATGTGCATGTTAGTTTTTTTTACATGTTACATATTTACGTATTTACGTATTTACGTATTTACGTATTTACGTGCGTGCGTGCGTGCGTGCGTGCGTGCGTGCGTGCGTGCGTGCGTGCGTGCGTGCGTGCGTGCGTGCGTGCGTGCGTGCGTGCGTGCGTGCGTGCGTGCGTGCGTGCGTGCGTGCGTGCGCGTGCGTGCGTGCGTGCGTGCGTGCGTGCGTGCGTGCGTGCGTGCGTGCGTGCGTGCGTGCGTGCGTGCGTGCGTGCGTGCGTGCGTGCGTGCGTGCGTGCG